AGCAACTTGCAGTTTTTCTCAATTCACTCCTGACACGGAAAAAAAAATCTTTTGTTTTCTTATCACTTGGCAAAAAATGCCTTAAAGGCAGTGTTGCCACCCCTGAGGGGTGTGACTGACATAATTCATTACCTTATTTGGTTCACTTCTAAATGTTATATTGTGTTCAGAAATGGAATCTGAATTACAGGAAGCACTAAGGCTCCTTGTAACTTGAGTTCTGCTCTGGTCCCATGTTTGAATGCCTTTCAGCTATAAAGTAGGAACCCCCGATGGTGCAATGGGTTAAACACCCTTGCACCAGCAGGACTGCTGACTGACAGCTTGGCGGTTCGAATCCAGGCAGCGGGGTGAGCTCCTGCCTGCCAGCTCTAGCTCCCCATGCGGGGACATGAGAGAAGCCATCCACAAGGATGTTAACACATCCAGGCAACGTCCTTGCAGATGGCCAATTCTCTCACACCAGAAGGGACTTGCAGTTTCTCAAGTGGGGTGAGCTCCCGTCTGTCAGCTCCAGCTCCACATGAGAGAAGCTTCCCACAGGATGGTAAAACATCTGGGCAACATCCTTGCAGACAGCCAATTCTCTCACACCAGAAACAACTTAAAGTTTCTCAAGTTGCGGGGTGAATTCCTATTTGTCAACTCCAGCTTCTCATGTAGGGATCTGAGAGAAGCCTCTTACAGGGTGGTAAAACATCTGGGTGTCCCCTGTGCAATATCCTTGCAGATGGCCAATTCTTTCACACCAGAAATGACTTGCAGTTTCTCAAGTCATGGGGCGAGCTCTTGTTTGTCAGCTCCAGCTCCCCATGTGGGGACATGAGAGAAGCCTCCCACAAGGATGGTAACTCATCTGGGCAACATCCTTCCAGATGGCCCATTGTCTCACACCCAAAGTGACTTGCAGTTTCTCAAGTCGTGAGGTGAGCTCCCGCCTGTCAGCTCCAGCTCCCCATGCGAGGACATGAGAGACGCCTCCCACAGGATGGTAAAACGTCTGGGCAATGTCCTTGCAGACGTCCAATTCTCTCGCACCAGAAGCTACTTGCAGTTTCTCAAATTGCTCCTGACACACAAAAAAATTATAAAGTATATTTTCAAGGCTTAATTTTTTGGGTTTATTTCCCACAACCAATTAATGCAGCAAAATAAAGGGTAGTCATGAGAGGTTTTTTCCCCTCTGCGAAAGGCAAATTTGTGTTGATGCCCAGTCGTTTAGACGGGAAAGCGTAACACGAATTCCTCTCCCTGTTTCCTACTCTTCTTTCTTATGCCCCATTAGAGCCGATTGTCTCAATATATCAAGGGAGGATGTTCAGGATACTATTAGAGGAAGTGGCAGGTTTAGTTCTGTGATGGATCACTTGTGAAAGTGGGGGAAATCAAGGTCTCTTCTCATTGAAATCTTTCTAACACAGGCCCAAGCCTTTTCTGTTCTGTGTTCCCTACTTGTTAGGCTAAATATCCTTTCTTTTGGAGGGCGTCCAGGGCTTTGGTACACATACGAGTTGCATAGAAAAGGGGGATTATGGCAGGCGTAACTTTGTCACACAGAGCAATGAATTTGCACCAGCTGAGTCTACTAAGTGTCTATTAAAGATACAGAATTGTCATCTTCCTTTAGAGCACAAGACCATAGTCTTGCAAAAACATACATATGTGCCTTTCATTGTCAATGTGCAAGAAAAAAGTGTGACAACAAAATTGAACTTTGATTGTAAATATTGGAACGATCAATATTCTCCTGTCCAAAATATTGTGCTTTCTGCTCCACGTTGTCGGAATGAGACAGCGCAGTGGAATATTTAAGGCAAAGGGGAAATCACGAGGCATGGTTCTCTCTCTAGGAATTGTTGTCCTTTATGAAAGGCGTGTGCATTTGGAATTTGTGCTCGTCCCTTTGAAAGGGATTACCAGAAAGGGATCGGGACTAAAATTTGTACACAACTCTAAAAAGCTTGTAGTATGCTGTAAGAGTAAAGCAAAATGTTAACCAGCCCTATAAGACACAGTTTTAAAACCAGGGCTCTGATTGCAAAGCAAGCCTTACATGTCTGTCTTGTCTCTAGTGCAGGCATGGGCCGAGCTGGTTCTTCCATATGTTTTGGACTTCAACTCCCACCATTCCTAACAGTCTCAGGCCCTTTCCTGTTAGGAATGGTGGGAGTTGGAGTCCAAAACACCTGGAGGGCCCAAGTTGGCCCATGCCTGTGCTATGACCATGTCGTCCACATACTGGAAGGGGCCTGAGGCTGTTTACGAATGGTGGGAATCGAAATCCAACAAAACACTTGGAGGGCCCAAGTTGGCCCGTGCCTGTGCTATGGGTATGTCATCTATGTACTGGAAGGGGCCTGAGGCTGTTAGGAATGGTGGGAGTTGGAGGGCCCAAGTTTGCCATGGCTGCAGTAGTGAAATGATGCTATGTTAAATTAATAGTGGCAATAATTGTCTGATTATTGGGGATTGGAAGCACAATTGGTTGTGACGAAATGATTTCAAACAAATCTGTATTCCATTCCTATTCACCCAAGCAGTACTTAAATGGGAGCAGAAAAGTCTTAGTCTGCCTAGAGTCCAACTTCTTTTGACACGAGTCCAAGATGACAAGAAAGACTTATTCTAACGCAGTGGTTCTCAACCTGTGAGTCCTTAAATGTTTTGGCCTTCAGCTCCTAAAAGCTCGTAGCCCAAAACACCTGAGAATCACTGTTCTAATTTCACATATTGTCTTTGTTTTTAGTGTTGATTGCCCAGAAAAACTTGGATAAATATAGTGCTAAAGTCGTAATCACATGGAGCATGGGATCTGTTTCCAGAAGGCATGATGATGCCTCTGTGCAGGAGCGCACATATAAATAGAGTGAGAAATAAAGGCCGGCAAACTGCAAGGTGCGCAGTTAGAACGGAGAGCTGATTGGATGCGAAAGGGTTGCATTTGCACTTCTATGGCAGAAGTAACCATGCCAGAAATCTAGCTAGCTTCTAGCATATATATATTTCCCCTTTGCACAAAATTTTGCACAAGGGGCGTTTTTGGACCAATCTTAAGAGGCCTCAAAGGATTGATGTTCCTATTAAAGGTAAAGGCGACATTAAGTCTAGTCATGTCTGACTCGGGGGGGGGGGGGGGTTCATCTCCATTTCTAAGCCAAAGAGCCGGCGTTGTCCATAGACATCTCCAAGGTCATGTGGCCAGCATGACTGCATGGAGCACCGTTACCTTCCCGCAGAAGTTGTACCTATTGATCTACGGACACTTGCATGTTTTCGAACTGCTAGACTGTCAGAAGCTGGGTCTAACAGCAGGAGCTCACCCTGCTCCCTGGATTCAAACCACTGACCTTTCGGTCAGCAATTACAGCACCTCAGTGGTTTAACCGGGGGCTCCCTGGATGTCCCTGTTGCAGTGATTTTAAATGGTGTTGGCAGAATGAAGAAGTACCATGCATTCTCCACTAAAGATCAGTTTTGTTCCTAAATCTTATTGAGATCTTGTACTTTCAGTAGCAGCAGGTGATAAAACATTCAGTTTTGCGAAGTTCCAAAAGTAGGATATGATGCAGGAAAGGGGAGGGAAGAAGCACGAGAAAGAGAAATCTTGCCCAGAGGAGGGCAACTAAAATGATCCAAGGGCCTGGAGAACAAGCCCTATGAGGACAGCGTGGCTTCAAGAGCTGGGCATGTTTAGCCTGCAGAAGAGAAGGTGGAGAGGAGACAAGAGGAGGGCCATGGATCAAGAGGTGAGGGGAAGTCATAGGGAGGAGGCTTCCTGGAGACTAAGATGCAATGGAGCAATGGCTTCAAACTACAGGAAAAGAGATTCCACCTGAACATTCCTGGCTGTGAGAAGGGCTGTTCAGCAGTGGAACTCTCTGCCTCGGAGTGTGGCGGAGGGAGGCTCCTTCTTTGGAGACTTTGAAGCAGAGGCTGGATGGCCAACTGTCGGAGGTGCTTTGAATGCGATTTTCCCGCTTTTTGGCAGAATGGGGTTGGACTGGATGGCCCACCAGGTCTCTTCCAACTCTAGGATTCTATGTTTGTTTGGTTTTGTAGTTTTGCACAAAATTAATGGACTGCCTCGGCAAGTGGTGCTACACATTGCAAAATGCCTAGGAGTGAGAGTGCGCGCCCCAGTGGAAAGCTTTTTCTTTAAAATCCTTTTTTTAAAAGATACTTCAATCAGGGTTATTGTGAGTTTTCTGGGCTGTATGGCCATGTGCCAGAAGCATTCTCTCCTATGTTTCACCTGCATCTGTGATAGGCATCCTCAGAGGTTGTGATAGCCTCAGGCACCTTCCTTTTCCCCCTCGGCCACTTCAGGTGGAAATACTACCCAGGTTCTTCTCTGACCACAATCCAATGCTGCTAAAATGAAAGGGCGGACATTGAGAAAGGAAACCATGGAAAATAAGTGGCTTTACATCAGGCCTGGGCCAACTTGGTGTTTTGGACTGCAACTCCCACCATTCCTAACAGCCTCAGGCCCTTTCCTTTTCCCCCTCGGCCACTTCAGGTGGAAATACTACCCAGGGTCTTCTCTGACCACAATCCGATGCGGCTAAAATGAAAGGGCGGACATTGGGAAAGGAAACCATGGAAAATAAGTGATCCATGCTAGGCTTTACATGAGGCCTGGGCCAACTTGGTGTTTTGGACTGCAACTCCCACCATTCCTAACAGCCTCAGGTCCTTTCCTTTTCCCTCTCAGCCGCTTAAGCAGCTGAGGGAGAAAAGGAAGGGGGCTGAGGCTGTCACAAACTCTGAGGATGCCTGCCATAGATGCAGGCAAAACATCAGGAGAGAATGCTTCTGGAACACGGCCACACAGTCTGGAGAACTCACAACAACCCAGCGATTCCAGCCACGAAAGCCTTTGACAATACACTTCAAATCCTATTTTCCGTGTCCTGACCAGCAGCAGCAGTACAAACACTAAAAGCAAGCTACCGTTTGCCAAAAAGGAAAAGGAAAAGAAAAAGAAAAGCAGAAACATATTGAAAATGGCAAGCTTTTTTATAACAATAATTAAAAAGTAATAAAAACATACAAAACATCTTAAATATGTACACAGTACAAGGCTCCGAAGCACCTTTTTTTCAACTCTTTTAATTGCAAAACCTTGGTATGAAAATTCCACCACCCATTGGGGTACGTTATCTGTGTGTATTGTCTGCCGTATCGTCCCTCTTCTGCACATCCTCCCCTCTCCCCAGAAATAAAAGGTACCTTCCGTTGAGTCATTCACGTTTAATTTTTGTGTGTGAAGTGCATTTCCAGCCAAAAGCTGATTGATGCATGGGAAGTCATGTTTGGACGCGGCACGGTCTTCTGTCTGCTACTGCTATTGATCTGCAAATAATCATTCCTGTATCCAAAATATCCAGTTCATTCTAACAGAAACTGATGTGTACTTGGTGTCCTCTTGGATTGACAACAAACAGTGTATTGGAGAACAAAGGGAAGGATCAGATCCCAAAGGACAACAGCTGAACTAATATGGCAACGAAAAGGAAGGTGATTCCAGCCCCTTCAATGGATGAGAGGCGGGTGTTAGTGTCATTGGGGGAACCTCTGGATTCAAAACCGAGGAAGGAGAGGAAATAGAAGGAAAACAACCTTTTGAATGTCTCACCAAAACTAGAGGTCTTCTTCTAAATGGGTTTATTTGCAGATTTGTATAAAGATTCAGTTGCATCTTTTCAAGAGATGGGTTTGGGTTTCTCCTGGATCCCACAATCCTTTGCTCCATGCATGGCACATTCTCTTTCATTTTATTTTATTTTATTTTTTTAAACTTCAAACCTCCCAGTGAAAAATATTAAATATTCCTGGTAATAAAATAGATTATTATTATTATTATTTCTATACTATGTGTTGGGCCTAGTGCAAGGGAGTGTCACCTGGGATACCCCTTGAAATAACTCCTAGACCACTGCATTGCAGGTAACGCAAGGCACTTTCGCAAGTGATCTAGTTCGGCCTGAAGTCGTTCCCTTTCCGAGACAATCTTCTGCTTCTGGTTCCTTAGTTCCTGCAAAAGAAGAGAAGTGTCAGCACGATGCAAACATAACATCAACGCAAATGTGCTTCAGTATTTTTGGAGCCAGCCAGACTTGGGACAGAAAATAAGACAACCATTGCAAGTCCCACCTTGATCACTAGACTCACCGTCATGGTGTGTGAGAGCTGCTCTGCTGTCAGGCTGAGACTGTAGTGCTGGGCCTCCAAGCGTCTGCACTGCGTTTGCAGCACCTGCCGTTCCAGGTTTTGCTCTGCAATCAAATTTGGATTATTAAGTCAGCCAAGGCAATTCCTTTGGATCAAGCTAGGTATCATCAAGTTTGCAGACAACACTAAATCGGAAGGGATAGCCAATACTCCAGAGGACAGGAGCAGAATTCAAAATGATCTTGACAGGTTGGAGAGATGGGCCAGAATTCACAAAATGAAGTTCAACAGGGGCAAATGCAAGATACTCCACTTAGGCAGAAAAAAACAAAATGCAAAGATACAGAATGGGGAATGCATGGCTCGAGAGCAGTACATGTAAAAAAGATCTTGGGGTCCTCGTGGACAACAACAACAACAACAACAACAACAACAACAATACTGGAAGGGGCACCGGGATTGTGGCGCAGCTGGCTGAGTTTCAGCTGCATTAAGATCACTCTGACCAAAAGGTCATGAGTTCGAAGCCAGCCCGGGTTGGAGTGGGTTTCCAACCAATTGTGTAGCCTGGTGTCGACCTTTGCAACCCGAAAGACAGTTGCATCTGTCAAGTTGGAAAATTAGGTGCCACCTTAAAGTGTGGGGAGGCTAAATTAACTAATTTATGAGGCCATTAAAAAGACTCCAGCAAAAGCACGCAAGCAAAAGCATGCGGGGAATGCGGAAGTACTTCATCAGTGTCGCAGATGGACGATGAAAGCGACAGCTCCCCTGGCGGCCAGAAAAAGTTAAATAGCCTCTGTGTATGTCTGTATATGTTGTATGTCAAAACTGGCATTGAATGTTTGCCATATATGTGTACACTGTAATCCGCCCTGAGTCCCCTGCGGGGTGAGAAGGGCGGAATAGAAATACTGTAAATAAATTAGATTTGTTAAATTGTTCTTCATTTTAATTATTGTATTTTAAGTGATATTGCACTACAAATAAGATATGTGCAGTGTGCATAGGAATTTATTCATTTTTTTCAAATCATAATCCAGCCCTCCAACAGTTTGAGAGACTGTGACCTGGCCCTCTGTTTAAAAAGTTTGTGGACCCCTCTGATATAAAGTATATGAGAGGATACTACTAAATTGATTCGGATCTGTTATTGAACCCCAGCTTATTGCACAACAAGCAGGTTTCAGACCAGGGAAAAACTACAGCCCAAATTCTTAATCTGACTGAGCACATTGAGGAAGGAAACGAGAAAGGTTGCATTACTGGAATAGTTTTTGTCGACCTTACAGCAGCCTATGACACAGTGCAACATAGGAAAATGCTGCAGAAAGTCTACCATATGACCCAAGACTATGATTTTACAAAAACTATCCAGATTCTTCTAGAAAACCGTAGCTTTTATGTGGAGTTTCAAGGCAGTAAAAGTAGATGGAGGAGGCAAAAGAATGGTTTACCCCAAGGCAGCGTTCTTGCACCAACCTTGTTTAACGATTAGCCACAACCACCACTCACAAAGAGCTTTATATATGCTGATGACCTTGGCCTAATAACACAAGCAAAAGACTTTGAAACAGTTGAAATCCAACTGACTAATGCCTTGAAAGATCTCTCCAGCTACTACCAAGATAACCACCTGAAGCCTAATCCTGCCAAAACACAAGTGTGTGCTTTCCACCTATGCAACCGTGGAGTCAACAGGAAATTGAAAGTCACCTGGGAAGGTCAAGAGCTTGAACACTGTTTCCATCCTAAATATCTTGGTGTCACCTTAGATCGAACATTAGCATATAGGAAACACTGCTTGAACACCAAGCACAAAGCTGCACGCAATACCATTCTGCAGAAACTTAGTGGCAGTACATGGAGTACAGACCCAACATTAGTAAGAACATCAGCCCTGGCCTTGTCTTACTCAACTGCTAAGCATGCCTGCCCTGTTTGGCATACGCCTTCCCATGCAAAGCAGGTGAACATAGCATTGAATGAGACATGCAGAATAATCACAGGATGACTTAAACCTACACCTGTTGATAAACTCTACAAGCTAGCTGGCATTGCCCCCCCCCCCCATGTGCGACGGGAAGTTGCTGCTAAATGTGAGAGAAATAAGGTTGAACACTGTGAAAGCCACCCACTACATGGCTACCAGCCTCCTCCCAGTAGACTCAAATCAAGGAAAAGCTTTATGAGAATGACCACTCCTCTTGGCGTCCCTCCAGCAACAGCAAGGGTATCCCTCTGGGCAGCTAAACCAGGAAATCCCAACTGGATGGCCCCCCACGAGGGTCTTCCTCCAGGGGCAAACCAAGAATGGGCAACTTGGAAGTCCCTGAACAGACTCAGAAGTGGAGTGGGCAGATCAAAAGACAACCTGGCAAAATGGCACTACCTAAAAGAATCCAACACCTTGTGTGACTGTGGAGAGAGATTCATCTATGCTGATGATCGTGCCATTACTGCTCAAGCAGGGAGCTTTGAGATGGTTGAAAAGAAGCTCTCCGAAGCTCTAGACGCTCTTACTGCCTATTACAGGGAAAACCAACTGATCCCTAATACATCTAAAACACAGACATGCGCCTTTCACCTTAAGGACAGACAAGCATCCCGAGCTCTGAAGATTACCTGGGAAGGAATCCCACTGGAGCATTGCAGACACACCCAAATACCTGGGAGTCACTCTGGACCGTGCTCTGACCTACAAGAAGCACTGCCTGAATATCAAGCAAAAAGTGGGTGCTAGAAACAATATCATACGAAAGCTGACTGGCACAACCTGGGGATCACAACCAGACACAGTGAAGACACCTGCCCTTGCGCTATGCTACTCTGCTGCTGAGTATGCATGCCCAGTGTGGAACACATCTCACCACGCTAAAACAGTGGATGTGGCTCTTAATGAGACATGCCGCATTATCACGGGGTGTCTGCGCCCTACACCACTGGAGAAATTACACTGCTTAGCCGGTATTGCACCACCTGACATCCGCCGGGAAGTAGCAGCCAATAGTGAAAGGACCAAGGCAGAGACATCTCAGGCTCATCCCCTGTTTGGGTATCAGCCAGCACGTCAATGGCTTAAATCAAGAAAGTTTTCTTAGATCTACAGAGACACTTGCTGGAACACCTCAGCAAGCGAGAGTCCAAACGTGGCAGGCTCAAACCCAGCACCTCAATCCATGGGTGATACCAGATGAGAGACTCCCCCTTGGGCACACAGAAGACTGGGCGACTTGGAAGGCGCTGAATAGACTACGCTCTGGCACCACGAGATGCAGAGCCAACCTTAAGAAATGAGGCTACAAAGTGGAATCCACGACATGCGAGTGTGGAGAAGAGTAAACCACTGACCACCTGCTGCAATGCAACCTGAGCCCTGCTACATCCTGGAGGACCTTCTTGCGGCAACACCAGAGGCACTCCAAGTGGCCAGATACTGGTCAAAGGACATTTAATCAACTACCAAGTTTGCAAAATCTGTTTTGTTTGTTTTGTTCTGTTAGAAATGTAATAAAATGGTCTGGTTGCTGATGACACGATAAATAAACAAATACTACCTAAAAGAATCCCACACCTTGTTTGACTGTGGAGCAGAACAGACAACTCCGCATCTGTATGCTTGTCCACTATGCCCTGCCTCATGTACAGAGGAAGAACTGTTGGAGGCTACAGACAATGCCATTGCTATTGCCCGTTTTTGGTCAAAGGATATTTAGCCATCTGCGCTCCTTCTATTTTTATCGGTTTTATACTAATTTGTGCAATGCTTTTGATACAAAATAAGATACTTGCACAGGGAAGTTCATTACTGGGTAAATACCTTGAAAAAAATTACATAAATATTTACAGGAAAAGCGAGTATTCAAGCAAAGGATTCTAAAAATTATAACCACGTAACTACAAAAGAGCAGAAGAACCCTCCTGAATCAGTGCAGCTTACCTTCTATATGTTCCTGGTAAGCCTCAAAGATGGCTTCAATCCCATGCCATTTGGGTCTTGGCTGCTCTTCCTCTTCTTCCTCATCCTCCTCTTCTTCAGAATCTGATGTCTTGTCATTTTCTGGGGGATTGAAGCCCTTATGCTGGGAAGCTCTCTGGCCATTCTGCTGCGACAGAGACACCCAGCTTGAGGTTTGCAATTCCGGAATGTTATAATGGATGGAGGCATCAACCTTATGGTTCTGCTCTGCTGAGTGCACCGTTGCATTACCTAGAAGCCAGAACACAAAAGAGATAAAACACCCATTTCACATGACTATTCGGCAACTGTTTCAACCTATGTGTAAGCTAGGATCGGCTGCGCTCTCAGAACACGAAAGTGAAATGCATGTGGTTTTTGTCCCTTGCACATCTTTTGTGTGATTGCCTAAACTTTCTGTGATAAGACAAAGATGGCTGTGTAAACACACTCATTAACCCACAGCAGAAGCTCATTCATTTTGTATGGAACTTCCCCCAGATAAGTATTTTTAAATGACATTTCCCACACTCATTTTTGTATATTCTCCTGAGTGGTTCAGTCAGCTGAAGATGTGGGGTTTGGGGGTTCAGGGCCTTTAATAATAATAATAATAATAATAATAATAATAATAATAATAATAATAGAATCAAAGAGTTGGAAGAGACCTCATGAGCCATCCAGTCCAACCCCCTGCCAAGAAGCAGGAATACTGCATTCAATTCACCCCTGACAGATGGGATTTTGGCCTGCATCAATAGGAGCATAGTGTCTAGATCTAGGGAAGTCATGCTAGCTCTCTATTCCGCCTTGGTTAGACCACACCTGGAATATTGTGTCCAATTCTGGGCACCACAATTCAAGAGAGATATTGACAAGCTGGAATGTGTCCAGAGGAAGGCGACTAAAATGATCAAGGGTCTGGAGAACAAGCCCTATGAGGAGTGGCTTAAGGAGCTGGGCATTTTTAGCCTGAAAAAGAGAAGGCTGAGAGGAGATATGATAGTCATGTATAAATACGTGAGAGGAAGCCACAGGGAGGAGGGAGCAAGCTTGTTTTCTGCTTCCTTGCAGACTAGGACGCGGAACAATGGCTTCAAACTGAACATGAGGAAGAACTTCCTGACTGTGAGAGTTGTTCAGCAGTGGAACTCTCTGCCCCAGAGTGTGGTGGAGGCTCCTTCTTTGGAAGCTTTTAAACAGAGGCTGGATGGCCATCTGTCAGTGGTGATTTGAATGCAATATTCCTGCTTCTTGGTAGGGGGTTGGACTGGATGGCCCATGAGGTCTCTTCCAACTCTTTGATACTATGATTCTATGAAACAATACCGATACAGTAAGTATCTGTAAATGCTTCGTGGGGACACCATGGTGGGCATCTTTGTTAATCACAACTGTTGAATGTCATAGTCAACAGACAGAAAATCATATTGATTCAATAGGTGTCATCCAGTTAGAACTAGTAACAGGATTTAAGATCACATCTTTTGTTATGGAACATTTCTTTTTTTAAAAAAACAAAACCCTCTTGCAGAGGTTTTTTAAAGCACTGAAACGAGCTTGAGGAAAACTTGGTGTTCTCAAATAAGTCAGGCCAATTTCCACAACTTTGTATGTCTAAAGGGGTTGGGATTTAGCACAGCAGGTTAACTGTCAGCTGCAGTCAATCTTGCTAACCAAAAGGTTGACACTTCAAAGCCTGGGTTGGGGTGAGCTCCTAGCCGTTCAGCACAGCTTCTGCCTACCTAGCAGTTCAAAAACAGCAATGTGAGTAGTTAAATAGGGACCGCTTTAAAGCAGGGAGGCACCCAAAAGGAATTGCCAGAAAAATGCTGGCGATTTCAACGAGGAAGTTTAGAAACAAAGCTCTTCAGCAGCGATGGAGTGACAACACCCTCCTGTGGCCAGAACCGAGCATAGCCTCCAAGAGGCTGAAGATGGGGAAAAGCCTATATCTCTTGTCAGTGTATGACGGCATTGAATGTTTGCCATATATGTGTTCTGTGACCCGCTCTGAGTTCCCTTCGGGGTGAGAAGGGTGGAATATAAATACTGTAAGTAAATAAATAGAAAGATAAGTCTCCATGGTGTTACGAGATCCCTTTTCAGCTGTGGAGAGAAGAAGACCTAGGAGGTGACATGATCTGAAGGGCTGCAGAAGTGAGTAAGTCTGATTTTTGTTGCTTCAGAGATTAGAATCCAGAACCAGTGGGTTCGAATGACAGGAAAAGCCATTCCACCTAAACTTTAGGGACGCTGCGCTCTGTGCTTCCTTGTTTTATGCCACCTAAATAAATAAATAAATAAATAATAAAAGGTTTTCTTGAAAAGTTGCAGAAGTGGGTCCACAGTATTTCATCTTTCAACATGGCCATTAAATATATACATGCCTTTAACCTTGAATGTAAAGGCCCTTGGGTGTTATTGTCTAATGTTTATTGCTATTGTTTTAATGTTTATTGATTTGCTTTATGAGTTTATTTATTTTTGTATTTGTTATGCTGTTGTTTTATTGATGAGTTGGGCCTTGGCCTCTTGTAAGCTGCACCGAGTCCTTCAGGAGATGTTAGCGGGGTATAAATAAAAGATTATTATTATTATTATTATTATTATTATTTACTTCCCAAGTGTGTGCAGATGTTCCTGCCTGGACAATATCAGTACCATCTGTCTCCATTTTTGCTAGTTGCATTGTCAGTACCTTTGTGTTTCTGCAGTGCTTTCTGTGTGGACTGCAGCACCGACTCGTGAAACTGATGTGCAAACTCCTCGGCTATGAAGGGCTCCCATGGCTTGTTCTTCCCATTCATGCTGTGTGACAGTGGCACAGGGACGTCCTTCGGCAAAGAGCTCCGGACATAATTGAGGATGCTCAGGCTTTTCTTGGCCACGTGCCCATCGCTCAACTTGGGCTTCTCAACAGAGACCGAAACTGGCTCCTTGGCTCTCAGGAACTCATGCGGCCGCAGCTGGTCTGTCCTGCAGGGCTCCACGGTCTTCGGGGTGTCTGGCAGAGAAGGGGCAGCCATGCTGGCTGGTTTGTCTGACTCCACTACAGTTGGCTGTACTTGTGGCTCTATGGGAAACAAACAAACAAATCACAATATAACTCAGGACAACTAAGCTTACCTATAGTCGTGCTTCTGGATAGACATCCCCTTTGTCTAGAGATCTATGGCTTAACACAAATGTTGGGGTGGGGAGTGTTAGGGAAAACTACCCTAACATATAGCAGAGAAACAGGATACTAAAAGGTGAGCATTTAGCTCAAGCGAGCAAAGCATGAGATGCCGTGTGATGTGGCTGTAAAGAATTTAGAGCTTAGGAGGAAAACATGAAGAGTCCAATTTTTAAAAAAACCACAAAAGGTTTATTTACAACTAGCTGTCCCCTGCCATGTGTACAACAATAAATAAACTCATAAAACAAAGCAATAAAATTAAACAATAACAATAAACATTAAACAATAATACCACGACACAGTTAAAAAATTTAAAAAATGCTGGACATGGCCAAGTGAAATGGATAGGTTTTTGGAGATAGGTGCGGTATGCAAATAATCTTAAATCTCTAGTAAAGTGCATTTGGGACATGATGCTTGGAGTTTCCTATTCTGGGAAGGCACACTGGAACAACCACGTCTTCAAGCTCTTCCTAAAGATTACCAAGTCCCTTTGTCTGCAAGACTTCCTTCTGGGCAAGCGTATTTCAGATTTCTGCCTTTAGCAACCTTGGCAAAAACATTGAAAGGAAAAATGCCCATGTGTCTCATTATCTCCAATTGCTTCCTAATCCCTGACAATTGGCAAGTGCCAGGAACCGAAGGACCATGTGCCTACACGGCAGTATCATGGACCCGCTGCTTTGGTGACATTGAGTAGCATACCTTCTCAAATTGAGTCATTTATCTTTGCGCAGACAGGCAGCCTTTCTTGGCAAGTCAGTGTTTCCTCCTGCTCAAGGATAAACCCACATCTACCTCAAGGTAGATATTTTAGTTATTTCTTCAAACACAGCAACCAAAGGGTAACGTTCTGACTGAGTACAAATGTAAATCTGCACATCACAATGTCATTTAAAGAGATCTTTTGAATATGCTTGTTAGAAATTTGGGGGAAATTCTCAGTTGGAGTCCATTTTTTTGTGAACTGACTAGATCAGTGTTTCTCAACCTTCCTAATGCCGCAACCCCTTAATATAGTTCCTTATGTGGTGTTGACCCCCAACCATAAAATCATTTTTGTTGCTACTTCATAACTGTCATTTTGCTACTGTTATGAATTGTCATGTAAACATCTAATATGCAGGATATATTTACATTCACTGGACCAAATTTGCCACAAATACACGATACGCCCAAATATGAATAATGGTGGGCTGGGGGGGGGGGGGATTTGTCATTTGGGAGTTGTAGTTTCTGAGAATTATAGTTAACCTATGATTCCTAACTCCACCAACGACTGAACTGAACCAAACTTGGTACACAGAACTCCCATGACCAACAGAAAATACTGGAAGGGTTTGGTGGATGCTGACCTTGAGTTTTGGAGTTATAGTTCAACTCCATCCAGAGAGCACTATGGACTCAAACAATGATGGATCTGGACCAAACTTGGCATGAATACTCAATATGCCCAAATGTGAACACTGGTGGATTTAGGGAAAATAGACGTTGACATTTAGGAGTTGTGCTTATAGAATCATAAAATCATAGAACTGGAAGAGACCTTTTTAAAAGCAGTCTTCAAAAATGTTTGTGTTTCCTCATGGACCATCGACCAATACTTTGATGTTTCTTCCCAGTCAAATCCTGTTTTATTATCTTGTTTATAATGCTTTTTTATCTGCATGTAGTGTAACCATGTAATATTTGCATTTATTTCTTTTATTTGTTGGTAAGCCTTAATCTCAGTTCCTTATTAAGATGTCTCTATATGTTGGCCACACTCTTATTTACATATTTTACGACAGCGGCGAGAATATCTTTAGCAAAATTTTGGAAACAAGACTGCACTCCAACCATGGATGAATGGCTGGGGAAAATCAGAGAAATAAGAGAAATTGACGAATTAACATTTTTCTTGAAGAAAAATACCGGGAAATCGATAAAGAGGACAGATCGGGCCCTCTTTGGTGAATATGAGAAAGAAAGAAGAGAATAAGAGGAAATGGATACTATTTTTTAAAAAATAACTGGAGAATTTAATGAGACAAAAAACCTGAAGATGAGATGGAAGTCAATTTTTATTTTTTTCCCCCCTTTTTTCTTTTACCCCTTCTGGAACTGGTGGTGGGAAGTGAGTGACAATTTATTTTATTTTATTTTCCTTTTTTAATTTTTTCTACTTTCCTACTTTTCTATCTTCTTACAAATATTCCTCCTCTTTCGTTGTAACTGTATAATATTCTAATAAAAATCATTATATATATAAAAAAAGAAATAACTGCATTTCTGAATAGTAGAGAACTGGGTCTGAGTTACTCTAACACCCATCTCTTCTCAGGTTTCAAGAGAGGGAAAATCATCCAATCACGACATCTCTCCTGACACACAAGCAGAGAGAGATCTCAAAGAACACAGCACATACTCTCCAGACTAAAGAGTAAGAAGGCAGAAGGCAGATTCAAAAGCATGCAGTAGAAAAGTATCCATTTTAAACAAACAATCAGAATGAGAGTAAAGACAAGAAAAATATACATTCCCAACTGTCATACAAAAGACATGGGGGAAGGAAAACCCTCAGATTATTCTAATGCTAACTAACTTCTCATTGAGGACTGCAGACTTGAGCAGTGTGGGGTCAACAGTGTATACAATTACCTTCAAACTATGTGTATAAGCTGTACATGAAACATACATGAGTTTCTTGTTTAGACTTTGCTCCTATCTCCAAGTATGTACATGCAAGTATTCCAAAATCTGAAAATACCTGAAAATACCTGGTCCCAAACATTTTGGATAAGGGATGCTCAACCTACATGGGGATGTACACCACGTTTTGTGATTATTCTTTGCACATAAAATCTGGCACTCAAAACTGTTAGGGAGAACTACCCTAAAATATAGCAGAGAACCCAAAATCAAACAAGATACTAAAATTTGAGCATCCAACTAATTAGGGAGTAGAACGTGAAGTGCTGTGTGATGTGGCAGTAAAGAATTCAGAGCTTAGGAGGCAAAAAAGCAGAGTCCAATCTTTTAAAAAAATCACAAAAGATTTTTTTAAATCGTTTGTGATTTTTTTTAAAAGAGGTTTTTCCGGGCTATATGGCCATGTTCTAGAGGCATTCTCTCCTGACATTTCGCCTGCATCTATGGCAAGCATCCTCAGAGGTAGTGAGGTCTGTTGGAACTAGGAAAATGGGTTTATATATCTGTGGAATGACCAGGGTGGGACAAAGGACTCTTGTCTGTTGGAGCTAGGTGTGAATGTTTCAACTGACTACCTTGATTAGCATTTGATGGCCTGGCAGTGCCTGGGACAATCTTTTGTTGAGAGGTGATTAGATGTGCCCGATTGTTTCTCCTCTAACACCCATCTCTTCTCAGGTTTCAAGAGAGGGAAAATCATCCAATCAGTACATCTCTCCTGACACACAAGCAGAGAGAGATCTCAAAGCACACAGCACATACTCTCCAGACTAAAGAGTAAGAAGGCAGAAGTCAGATTCAATAACTTGCAGTAGAAAACACTCAGGCAGTAGAAAACCCAAATGCAACAATCCCATTTACAGCCACTTACCAGCTTGAGCAATGCTAGGACTGTCCTGTGGGGAGCTTTTCACTGATGCTGCTATGGAGGCACTTTTTTGTTTCATGGCATGGAACATTTCCACTAGTTTTTCTTTATCTACGAGATAGAAAGAAAGCGTGTGAAGCCGACTTTTCCCAGTTGTCAAATGAGAAAAGCCACATATCTACAGAAACTAAAGAAGGCAATCCCTCAGTTTATGTTACCATTGTGTCTTAATGCTTAATTCTGTGCATATGTTGCATTTTAAAAAGTTAATCAAAGTGGACCTATGCCTGTGGTCAACAGAATCCAGCCATGCCATAATGCTTGTGTTTACTAAGGCAGCATTTCTCAACCTGTGGGTCGGGACCCCTGAGGGGGGAGTTGCAAGGGGGTTTCACGGGGTCACCAAAAACCATCAGAAAACACAGTATTTTCTGTTGATCATGGAGGTTCTGTGTTTGGCCCAATTCTATCCTTGGTGGGGTTCAGAATGCTTTTTGACTGTAGGTGAACTATAAATAATAATTTTTGAATGATGGTTGCTCCTTGTGTTGTGAGATTTTTGTTGCCAAATTTGGTGTGATTTCGTTCATTGGTTCTTTTGTTTTTAAGGCACTCATTATGCACAGAGCATTTATATATATACAGATATATGCACAGCCACACACATACACAAATATATACACACACATACACACACACAAAATACATATATACGGACTGGGCCACAGCGACACGTGGCAGGGGGTGGCTAGTAGCAAATAATATGTAAAGTTACAGAATGCAGACTGTAATAGAGATTCTGGCCTTTGTTCCTACCGCTGCTGTCAAGCCGGTGCATACCTTTCCTTTTCTCAGCAGTGATGTGAGTTAAGTTGAATGTGGTGAGAAACCTCTTTTTCTCCTCGAAGTTGGGACTGCAGTTCATCTCATCTGGGCTGTAACGTGTTGAAAGCACGAACCGTGGAGAAGGCGTCCGGCGTTTATTCTGGACAATTGGTGGGGAAGGACTCCTTTCTCGCAGCATTCGCCGCCTTTTCCTCCGTTTCTGGACCAGCAATTCCTCCTTCTGTTGCTGGGTGGTCAGCCCAAAGAGCTGCAAGAACTCTAGTTTCTTGGAAGAAGGAAAGACTTTATTTATCATCAGATCTCCTTTTCTTAAAAAACGTATCTTTTTAGAGGGGAAAGTCACCAGAACATGACTTTGTTCACAAAAGAAAGCCATACTACTTTTTTATCATCTCTTTAAGAGTATGCATGCCCGGTGTGGAACACATCTCACCACGCTAAAACAGTGGATGTGGCTCTTGATGAGACATGCCGCATTATCACGGGATGTCTGCGCCCTACACCACTGGAGAAATTACACTGTTTAGCCGGTATCGCACCACCTGACATCCGCCGGGAAGTAGCAGCCTATAGTGAAAGGACCAAGGCAGTGATATCTCCAGTCCATCCCTTGTTTGGGTATCAGTCAGCACATCAACGACTTAAATCAAGAAATAGTTTTCTAAGATCTACAGAGACACTCGCTGGAACACCTCAGCAAGCAAGAGTCCAAAAGTGGCAGGCTCAAACCCAGATCCTCAATCAGTGGCTGATGCCAAATGAGAGACTCCCCCCTGGGCACACAGAAGACTGGGCGACTTGGAAGGCGCTGAACAGACTGCGCTCTGGCACCACGAGATGCAGAGCCAATCTTAAGAAATGGGGCTACAAAGTGGAATCCATGACATGTGAGTGTGGAGAAGAGCAAACCACTGACCACCTACTGCAATGCAACCTGAGCCCTGCCACATGCACAATGGAGGACCTCCTTGCAGCAACACCAGAGGCACTCCAAGTGGCCAGATACTGGTCAAAGGACATTTAATCAACTACCAAGCTTGCAAATTCTGCGTTTTGTCTGTTTGTTTGTTTGTTTTTGTTAAAATGTAATACAAATGTCTGGTTGCTGATGACACGATAAATAAATAAATCTCTTTAAGAGACATTCCGAGCAGTCTGCTGGTTTCTTCCAGTATGCAGACATATCAATGACTCAGGCAATGAGGCAGGTTATTAATGGCTTCTTCTCAGGCATGAAATTATTTGGCCCCAAATTTCCCAAGAGATACTTGCTGAAGGCCACACAGATCCACAAGAAATAAAACTTACTTCCGAAGAGGTGTCCAGCTTCAAAGGGGGCTGCTCTGCAACGCAACGTAGGTGGGCTCGTACTTCCTCTTCATCGCTCTCATCATAGGAGTCATCTAGATCATAATAGTAACCTGCGTGCACAAGGCAGGAAGGCAAAGGTCACGCCTCTAACTCAGGCATGGGCAAACTTTCCAATTTGGGGGCTGCATGACGGGCCTGGGTGGGTGGGCTGGGAGGGAGGGAGGGGGTTCTCACCAAGCCCCCTCCCTGCCCTTTCCTCCCCTCCCTCTTCTCTTTCAGAGGCAGAAAGCGAAGGAAAGACGGGAAACGTTTGGGTCCCAAAAGGGTTGGCCTTGGTCAGATGAGATGGTGGACGGGAGGGGAAAAGCGCATCCATTAGACCCAATATTTCCCACTCCACCATGTCTCCTGGCTCATCAGTTGGGAGCCCCTCCACCCAGCAACAATATAGTAATATATAATACTAATATTGAGCTATGCTCAGGGGTCCTCAAACTAAGGCCCGAGGGCCAAATACGGCCCTCTAAAGTCATTTACCCAGCCCTTGCACAACAGTAACAACAATTCTATATCATCAGCCCAGCTTGTCCGAACGCATCCACCTCTACATCCCATCTCGTAATCTAAGACTCCAGAGAAGGAGCTTCCACCACACTCCCAGGAAGCCAGTATGCCACTCTCCAGGAAGTTCTTCCTATTCTTTTCAGTCAAATCTTTTCCCCTGCTATTTGAACCCATTGCTCTCTTTTTCCCCCTCCTCCTCAATGGGAGACCTTTTGAAATCTTGGAACATGGTTCTCATGTTCCTTCTTAACCTTCTCTTCTCCCAGCTAAACATTCACCAGGAGGAAAGGAGAAAGAAGGAAAGGGAGGGAAGGAGGAAGGGAATGGAGGGAGGGAGAAAGAAAAGAGAGATGAAAGGAAAGACAAAAGGAAAGGAAGAAAGGACAAAAGGGTGGAAGGGAATGGAGGGAAGGAGGAAAAAGAGATGAAAGAAAGACAAAAAGGAAGGAAGGAAGGTGAAAGAGAGGGAAGGAGGGAGGAAAGGAAGGAAGGACTAAAGCAGAGGTCCTCTAACTAAGGCCTGGGGGCCAGATGCGGCCCTCCAAGGTCATTTACCCGGCCCTCGCTCAGAGTCAACCTAAGTCTGTAACGACTCAAAAGCATACAACAACAACAACAATCCTGTCTCATCAGCCACAAGCAGGCCCACACTTCCCATTGAAATACTAATAAATTTATATTTGTTAAAACTATTCTTCATTTTAATTATTGTATTGTTTTTAAGTGGGTTTTTTTGCACTACAAATAAGATATATGCAGCGTGCATAGGAATTCATTCATGTTTTTTTCAAATTATAATCTGGCCCTCCAACGTTTGAGGGATTGTGACCTGCTCCTCCGTTTAAAAAGTTTGAGGACCCCTGGACTGAAGTGTGAAAGGGAAGGGAGTGAGGAAAGAAAGATGGAAGGAAAGACAAAGAGGAAGGAAGGAGGGAGGAGAAAGAGGGAAGGAAGGACGAAAGAGTGGAAGGGAAAGAAGGAAGGAGGGAGGAAACAGAGACGGAAGGAAAGGTAAAAGGGAAGGAAAGAGAAAGGTAGAAGGGAGGAAAGAGAGAAGCAAGGAAGGGAGAGAGGGAGGGAAGGAGAAAGGAAAGAGAGAGAGAAGGATAGGACAGTTAGAGAGAGGAGGGCCTGAGAAAGAGCTGAAGGGGCCACCTCCGACCCCTGGGCCTGGGTTTGCCCGTACCTGCTCCAGCTGAATGTTTTCCAAACAGCTTGCTTTCTTTTTGGCTCATATTGATCCAGCTAAGCCCTACCACAAAAACTGTTTGCTTCATACTGAGTTGTTCTAAGGAATGACTGAATAAATTGCCATCACTGTTCTACACTTATGGAAGAAGAGCAAAGGCAAACCCAGACCCCATGCCAACCAGGGCAACAGACCACTTCCACCATATTATATTACAAAAGATAACAGACTGCTCTGCAGGTAGAAAAATAGGTACAGCAACACAGTAGCCAACTCCATTGCTAGCTGGCTTTGAGGTCCAAAAGGGTCAATGGGGTTGCCAAAGGAGAAGAAGAAGCATTGAGGACAAAACAGGCTGAGCCGGTGCCCAACGAGCCATGAGCAGCCAATAGAAAACTGCCGAACAACACACCACGGATGCTTTTACAGCCTGCATACTCACACTCCCTCAGCTAACTGCTCCCAACTAAGTGCTTTGCTTTCCTCCATTCCACGAATCCTACTCTGGTTGTACATTCCAGATTAATATTTAAAGCTGCTTTATTAGCCTTGGCTCATCATTTATTAATTGGGCCTGTCTTGGCGGCAGGATTTACACAGCAGCGCGAACTGGGTGTTCAAGGCGATTTGCAAACTCAGGAGGGAGAGCGAGTGAGCGCGTTCTGTTTGCAAGGAGCAATTAGTTCCCTGACAGCAATGTGACCCCGGCTATTAGGGCTTTGATGAAAGCTCAAAGGCTACTTCTCACTAATTTCACATTACTAGGCAATAGTCATTCAATTCTTGTGTTGTTAACACATGGAAAATCAGGCAACAAGCCCTGGAAAGCCTTGACAAAAAATCAAGAAGTAGCATTTAGCCCTCAAGATGCAAAAACCATGTACCCATCACTTTTAGGTGCATCTTCAGTGTGGAATTAATGCAGTTTGACACCACTTTAACTACCAATTGAGCAATCCGATGGAATCACAGGAGTGAGTTTTCTCTGCCAAACCAAAACCCTCATGATTCCATAACATATAAGCTCAAGATCAGAGTTTTACTTTAAGGTCTGGTTTGATTCATCACTTAGCTCAGGATGAGTACATAAGCAGTTGGTTTAAAATCAATTCTAAGAAAGCTTCCCCCATCGTCCTTTCCGCATCCCTCCTAAGTCATCTGGATTTTGACATGGCTCTCAAATCAATCAATCAGAGACTGTGGGACATTGCCTTTTGTGAGCTGCACTCTTGCTCTTATGTATCTTGCTCCTCTAGTGCCCTGTCCATCCATTATGTTAGGCCTTTCTATCAAGCAAACTATCTAAAGAACTTGCCTGAGGCCAAATACTGCTCCCTATTTCCCAAAGCAAGGTGCAATGTGCTCCCATCTGAATTGCTGTGTGGGAGATTTGCAGGTACCCTATATAATGACAATGGAGGCTCCTACACTTCTTTTTAAATCTCCATTTACTGTATATACTCGAGTATAAGCCTAGTTTTTCAGCCCTTTTTTTAGGCTGAAAAAGTCCCCCTCAGCTTATACTCAAGACAAGGTTATTTATTATTTTACTCTTATTATTATTATTATTATTATTATTATTATTACTATTTCATTTATTATTTTATTCTACTTATTATTATTGCATTTATCATTTTATTCTATTATTATACATTTATTATTTTACTGTATAATTGTTGTTATTGCTACATTCATTATTTTACTCTTTTTATTATTGTTGTTATTATTACATTGATTATGTTACTCTCTTTATTATTATTGAAAGGATACGTAAGCATGTAAGCAAGCGCGATTGGTGGGGACGAGGGACAGGGCCTTCTCTGTGATGCCCCCCCCCCCCCGACCTCTGGAACTCTCTCCCCAAGGACATCAGACAAGTCCCAACGTTGGCAGTCTTTAGGAAGAGCTTGAAGACGTGGCTGTTCCAGTGTGCCTTCCCAGAATAGGAATCTCCTAGCATCATGTCCCAAATGCACTTTATTAGAGATTTAAGATTGTCTGCACACTACACTTCTCTCCAAAAACCTACCCATTTCACCTGTCATTTCCAGCATTTTTAAATTTTTATTCATTACATTTGGCCCGGCCTCAGTTTTAAATGCGTCGTGGTGTTATTGTCTAATGTTTATTGCTATTGTTTTAATGTTTATTGATTTGCTTTATGAGTATTTATTGTTGTATTGCTATTGCTATGCTGTTGTTTTATTGATGTGTTGGGCCTTGGCCTCCTGTAAGCCGCACCAAGTCCTTTGGGAGATAGGTTCTTGTGGGTTTTTTTCGGGCTATAGAGCCATGTTCTAGAGGCATTTCTCCTGACGTTTCGCCTGCATCTATGGCAAGCATCCTCAGAGGTTGAGAAGGTCTGTTGGAAGTAGGAAAAAATGGGCTTATATATCTGTGGAATGGCTGGGGTGGGGCAAGGAGCTCTTCCCTGCTGCAGTTAGGTGTGAATGTTTAGCTGATCACCTTCATTAGCATTTGAAGGCCTGCCTGCGTCTGGGAAAATCTGTTGCTGGGAGGTGTTAATCTGTGCCTGGTTTTTTCCTCTCTGTTGTTTAGCTGTTATAATTTTAGAGTTTTTTAATACTGGTAGCCAGATTTTGTTCATTTTCATGGTCTCTTCCTTTCTGTTGAAATTGTCCACATGCTTGTGGATTTCAATGGCTTCTCTGTGTAGTCTGACATGGTGGTTATTGGAGTGGTCCAGCATTTCTGTGTTCTCAAATAATATGCCTGGTTCATCAGGTGCTCTGCTATGGCTGACTTCTCTGGTTGAAGTAGTCTGCAGTGCCTTTCATGTTCCTTTGGGAGATGTTAGCGGGGTATAAATAAAGGTTAATAATAATAATAATTATTATTATTATTATTTATTTGTTTATTTATGACATTTATATGCCGCCCTTCTCACCCCGAAGGGGACTCAGAGCGGCTTACAAGTAAAAAGTAAATACAATATATTATTATCATAGCACAAGATTAATATTATATATTACATTGTACTATAACATTATACTGTAATACTATTAGTAATATTACATTTAATATAAAATATATAATTATAATATTTTATTAGTAGTAGTATATTATTTACATTGAAGAAGATAAATAAACATTTAATCATAGTTGGACAGTCTTATCTTAAAATACCATTTTTAAATATTCAAAAATATATAACCTACTAATTCCTCAATTAATGTAGTTTAATTGGTATCGGTTTTTATTTTACAATTTACCAGTAGCTGCGGCATTTCCCACCCTCGGCTTATACTCGAATCAATCTGTTTTCTCAGTTTTTTGTGGTAAAATTAGGTGCCTCGGCTTATATTTGGGTCGGTTTATACTCGAGTATATACGGTACTTATTTTCTGGAACACCTGGCATCCTACAACAGAGGATAATCTAGACCAGGCCTGGGCCAACTTTGGCCTTCCCTCCAGGTGCTTTGGACTCCAACTCCCAAAATTCCTAACAGCCAAAACTGTAGGAGTTGGAAGTCCAAAACACCTGGAGGGGAAGCCAAAGTTGGCCCAGGCCTGCTCTGGAGAGACTACGGACTGACCTTTCTCTTGGGCTTCCCTCCGTCTCTTCTCCTCCAGATCCAGTTTGCTGACCAGCTTGCGGTGCTGTTGCAAGAATTCATCGTAAACATACATGGGGTCGTGGCCCCGGAGTAAAGGATGCCTATAAGGCGAGGCGGGTTTACTGGTCAAGGTGTCAACTAATGGTCCAGTCTGTGAATGGGCTGCCCTTTGCTGGTTCAAAATGCTTTGCGTGGACTTCTCCAGTTCTGCTAAGAAGGGTCCATGGGAAAAGCCACTATGTTCTAAACCTCCAGGCTCTCTGGTCGGCGGATACTTGTCCAAGGCGTCCTTTTTCCTGGCACCTTCCTCTGCTTTCTCTGGACAATAGACCCGCTCCACTTTCACCAGGGGGATGGCTTGCCGGCTGGGCTCAAACTGGCTGGCATGGCTTTGGAGAGGGTGGCTTTCCTGCACCCTTCGGGATTCGGTGTTGTTGTCAATCAAGGAGACAGGGTTCCAGAGAGAGGTGGGGACAGGATGGTGCTGCGGCTTCGGGGAGATGAGAGGAGGGGGACCTCCAAAATGCTGCGGTGGGTCTCGGCTACTTGCCTCAGAGCGGTTTGGTCCCAATCTGTATAAAGGGGAGAAACACAGAAATTAACATTGAGCACAAGAGCAGCTTTGCAGGAGGTACCAGGTACTATTCCTCCCAATAAAATACTGGGTATCAGTCATAAATGCATGATTAGGAGGCTGTGCTCCACAAGCAATTCCGTTTATGTGTTTGTTGTGAACTGCTTTCAGTGCCGTCATGCTGCAAATCCCACTGGAGCACTGCAGTACACCAAAATGCCTGGGAGTCACTAAATTTATTATTTATTTACTTAATTATGACATTTATATGCCACCCTTATATACACACACACACATATACAATATATTATATTATTAGCATAGTACAATATCAGTATTATATATTACTGTATTGTACTATACCACTATATTGTAATATTATTAGTAATATTACATGTAATATAAAATATATAACTCTAGACCAGGGGTCCTCAAACTACGGCCCGAGGGCCGGATATGGCCCTCAAAGGTAATTTACCCGGCCCTCACTCAGGATCAACCTAAGTCTGTAACGACTTGAAAGCACACAACAACAACAACAATCCTATCTCATCAGCCAAAAGCAGGCCCATACTTCCCACCGAAATACTAATAAGCTTATATTTGTTAAAATTGTTCTTCATTTTAATTTTTGTATTGTTTTTAAGTGGGTTTTTTTTTGCACTACAAATAAGATATGTGCAGTGTGCATAGGAATTCATTCATGTTTTTTTCTTCAAATTATAATCTGGCCCTCCAACAGTTTGAGGGACAGTGAACTGGCCCTCTGTTTAAAAAGTTTGAGGACCCCTGTTCTAGACCATGCTCTGACTTATAATAAGCACTGATTGACTATCAAGCAAAAAGGAGGCGCTAGAAAGAATATGGTACGAAAGCTGATCAGCATAACCTGGGGATCACAACCAGAGACAGTAAAGACATCTGCCCTTGTGCTTGGCTACTCTGCTGCTGAGTACACATACCCAGTGTGGAACACATCTCACCACGTTAAAACAGTGGATGTGGCTCTTACTGAGACATGCTGCATTATTACAGGATGTCCAAGCCCTACACCACTGCAGAAATTATACTGTTTAGCCGGTATTGCACTACCTGACATCTGCAGCAATGGAAGTAGCAGCCAGCAATGGAAGGACCAAGGCTGTGACATCTCCAGCCCATCCTCTGTTTGAATATCAGCCAGCATGCCAACACCTTAAATCAAGAAATAGCTTCCAAAGAGCGAAAGAGATACTCGCAGGAACACCTCAGCAAGCAAGAGTCCAAAAGTGGCAGGCTGAAACCAGAACCTCAAGCAGTGGCTGAGAACAGATAAGAAACTCTCTCATGGATGCACAGAAGATGGGGCAACTTGGAGGTGCTGAACAGACAAAGCCTCTGCCTTTGTTTGTGTGTCTCACTATACACGATTGTAAAGACATTTAATGTTTGTCTATGTATGTAAATGCTGTAATCCATTTTGAGTCACCTTGGGGAGAAGGGCGAAATATAAATAAAGTGTAATGTTGCTGTTGCTGTTGTTGTTGTTGTAAGGAGCCCTCAGTGGCACAAAAAAAAAAGTGGCACAATGGTTAAACTCTTGTGCTGGCAGGACTGCTAACTGATAGGTCAGCAGTTTGAATCTTGAGAGAGCGGATCTGAACTGCTGACCTGTCGGTTAGCAGTCCTGCCAGCACAAGGGTTTTATTTATTTATTTATTTACAGCATATATATTCCGCCCTTCTCACCCCGCAGGGGACTCAGGGCGGATTACAGTGTACACATATATGGCAAACACTCAATGTGAATTTTAACATACAACATATACAGACATACACAGAGGCTATTTAACTTTTTCTGGCCACCAGGGGAGCTGTCGCTTTCACCGTCTATTTGCGATGCTGATGAAGTACTTCCGCATTCCCTGCATGCTTTTTTTTTTTTTTTGCTGGAGTGCTTTGCTGGAGTCCTTTTTATGGCCTCATAATTCAGTTAACTTAGCCTCCCCACACTTTAAGGTGGTACCTAATTTTCCTACTTGACAGATGCAACTGTCTTTCGGGTTGCAAAGATCGACAACGGGCTACACAATTGGTTGGAAGCCCACTCCAACCCAGGCTGGCTTCGAACACATGACCTTTTGGTCAGAGTGATCTTAATGCAGCTGACATTCAGCCAGCTGCGCCACAATCCGGGTTTAACCCATTGTGGGAGAGAGCGGGTTGAGCTCCCATCTGTCAGCTCCAGCTCCCCATGCAGGAACATGAGAGAAGCTTCCCGAAAGGATGGTAAAACATCAAAAACATTCCCTGGGCAACGTCCTTGCAGACAGTCAATTCTCTTACACCAGAAGCGACTTGCAGTTTCTCAAGTCACTCCTTCTGACATGAAAAAAAAATACTGCATTGTGAATTAGAAGGGCCATTCTTCCCTTGATCCACGGGAGGGAGCTCAACCAGGACCAAGATGAACATTGACGGCTGTTTGGAGTCTGGAATTGAAGTGACATCTAGCGGTGTTTACAATTAATGCAGCAAGCTATTAAGAGTCACACCTCTCAACTCTTGGATGATTTCTCACTTCTATAGCACCCTTCTATGTATTGATTTATCAATGTCACTCCCTTCCCTTTTTTTTCACAGTTGCTACATATATGGAGGTGGAGGAAAGGTTAATGTGGTTGTCTGTCCTTTCACCGCCATGGCCTTCCCTCCCTAGCCTGCAAGATAGTGATCATGTTTAGGGGATGGTGCTGGGGAATTTGTTATTCTGGCAAGTGGAATGTTTAATCCTGGTAAACATACCCTAAATGCATGAGATCCCATCTGATTTTGGCAACAAAGGAGGGATAGCCCTGCTTAGTACTTGAATGGTGTTGTAGGCTCTATTTTTGGGAAAGGAATCTTGCAGAACCATTTCTAAATATCCCTATGGAAATGTATGGGGTCACCATCTGTTGATAGGCAACCCAAAGGCTTATACATACACACAACATTCAAAATATTAACTGGCCTAATGTGTTGGGTTTCATCCTTGGACTGCACAAGTCTCTTGTGTCATCACGTCTCCAGTCCTCAATGAGTAATGTAGATAGGATTAAGGTGAGGATTCCTTCCCCACATTCTGATGCATGTTTACCAAAAAGGGCTTTGTCTTTACTCTTCCTTCTTGTCACTGCTTCCTCCCCTTTTGAATATGTAGGAACGGAGGGAACTTCCTCTTTTAAGTTTTATTGCTCCAGGTTGACCATGTGGTCTCCGCCACTGTCTCTTCTGCTTTTTCTTTCTTCGACCGAGGACGCATTTTGCCTCTCCTTTTAGGCAAAATGTAGCCGCATAGGCTTTTTTTTTTTACTTTTTACCCTTTTACCTTTCTTAGAAGATGAGACTTAGTAAGCTAGTGAGCTCCAAGACCTTTTCCATCAAAAATGCATTTCTTTTATTTATTACTTATTTATTTTGTACATGTGTACTCCGTCCTTCTCACACACACACACACACCCCTGGGTGGGGTGGGGTGGGGGGGACTCAGGGCAGCTTTTACTTCAATAAATACTTTTGAACCTAAAGTTCTGACTCTGCAATCCTATGCCATCCTATGGCGAGAAAGCTTATCCTAGCTCGCCACACGTATGTTTCTGCAGGTTATGAAGTTTGCTTCTGGTACTGTGCCATATTTATGGTGGAATCAACCCAACTGAGGGTTATTTTTGAGCCTGACAGCTCAGATTCCCTAACATAATGAAATGCTTCTACAACTACTGTAGTATTTTGACCACATCTAATAAACTGATAATGACCACACTTCCACGTGGCTCTTAATGAGACATGCCACATTATCACAGGATGTCTACGTCCTACACCGCTGGATAAATTATTCTGTTTAGTCGGTATTGCACCATCTGAAGTAGCAGCCAATAATGAAAGGCCAGCATGCCAATGCTTTAAATCAAGAAATAGTTTTCTAAGATCGACAGAGATACTCACAAGAACACCTCAGCAAGCAAGAGTTCAAAAGTGGCAGGCTAAGACTCGGAACCTCAAGCCATGGCTGATACCAAATGAGAGATTCTCCTCTGGGCACACAGAAGACTGGGTGACTTGGAAAGCGCTGAAAAGACTTTGCTCTGGCATCACGAGATGCAGAGGCAACTTTAAGAAATGGGGCCACAAAATGGAGTCCACAACATGAAAGTGCAGAGAATAGCAAACTAAGACCACCTACTACAATGAAGATGAGCCCTGCCACATACACAATGGAGGAGCTTCTTATAGCAAGACCAGAGACAAGTGGCCAACTACTGGTCAAAGAACATTTAATAGAACACCAAGATGTTTAAACTTTGTGTTTTTTAAATACATTACAACTGTACCCTTGGTTAGGTTCTGATTCGACAAATAAATAACCACTCTTTCAACACCATTTCATTATCTAATGCTATTATGCTGTGGTGAGTTGCTCTGAGAGTGATCTACTCTGGAAAGGCAACCAGTTACAATCCCAGCCGACGATAGATGTGCAAACTGTGCCTCTGCATCCTTGCTCACTTTCATTTAGGACTTCTGGATAGGCTGGATATGGACAAAACACTGTTCCCAAAATATTATCTCCAGTTCCAGTAGCACAAAGGGAATGACACGCGAAATCCATTTTAACTAACTAGTAAAAGGAGTAAAACCGCTTGCATGATTAATATTGCATGTGCTGAAGCTGTGCGTTTAACAGCTTTCCACTTGAGAGCACCGGGACTCCGTGCAGTAGAGCATCAAATGCGGATTGCTCCCTTGGTCTGTAATGTGACTGCTGTGGAAGTCTCTGCAACAATGGTTTGCAGGAAACAACATTTAAGAACATTGGCTCAGACGATTTCCACAAATATACTGTAGATCTACTTATATTTGCGAAGGACTCCTATCGAGCTCTTTTCTACCAAAGGAGCATTCAAAGCAGAGTACTATGGATATAACATAATACTTCAGAGTAAAGCATTTGAGAATCATATCCCCATAAACTCCATAAAACTCCAAAATAGGCTTGAGAACCTGTCTGTCTAGAAAAAAGATCAGGGTGGAGGGGTGTAATAATAATAATAATAATAATAATAATAATAATAATAATAATAATAATAATAATATTTTTGTCGTGTCAGGAGCAACCTGAGAAACTGCAAGTTGTTTCTGGTGTGAGAGAATTGGCCATCTGCAAGGATGTTGCCCAGGAGACGCCCGGATGATTTGATGTTTTATCATCCTTGTGGGAGGCTTCTCTCATGTCCCTGCATGAGGAGCTGGAGCTGATAGAGGGAGCTCATCTGCCTCTCCCCGGATTTGAACCTGCGACCTGCCGGTCTTCAGTCCTGCCGGCACAGGGGTTTAACCCACTGTGCCACCGGGGGCTCCAAATAATAATAATAATAATAATAATAATAATAATAATAATACTTTATTTATACCTCACCACCATCTCCCCAAGGGGACTCGGGGCGGCTTAGATGAGGCCAAGCCCAACAACACATCAGTAAAAACAAAACAGCAAGCAAATAAAACAGTACAATTAATATAACTCACATATAAACAATAACACAGAGATTTTAAAACCTTATGGCCGGGCCAGATGTAATAAATTAAACATTTAAAAATAAACACTGGGCGTGTTGAAACACTGACATTAAATGGACAAGAATGAAACAAAGGCTCTGTTGTTTCACAATTTGGCCAAAGCCGTAGCTTTTGTCGCACCCATGTCAGCCATCCAGGCGCAATGTTTTAGTGGCCACTGGATTGTGGCTTTCTGAGCAAACAGCGCAAGGGCCTCCTTGATATACGCATTAGGGGTGACCTTGTTCCAGTGTGCACAGCTGTGAAAGAAGACGCTGAAATGAGAATGTGACACTGCCACGCATGCACAGCAGCCACCCACTCCTCTGCAGACCCGATTAGCTCCTCTAATCCTCTGATACACAAAACCAACAATGGGATCCAGCAGCAGAGCCAAAGGGATGAGTTGAGCCATTGGTGAGCTGAAGTCAGCCCTTGGCACCAGCGCAAGAGAAGAGGAATCAATCCATCCAGAGACACAAGCAGCATGGCAACAGGTGCTGACAGAAAGAGCTCTTCTGCGCACACATTTCTGCTTTTACTCCCTGCACTTGGTGTTGCCAGCTTTTCACACAGGACGACGGCTTAGCTACTCACTCGGTTACTGGGACTGAAGCCTAACCTACCCTGGAGTGAAGGACACAAGCCACTGTGGCTGGAGAGACTCCTGTTGTGTTCAAGAGCAATCATCTATCTCTTGGCCATGGACAGGAAGGCTACAGGAGCCAACGTTGGACTCTGTTGCCCCTGCCTGGACCACAAGCTGCCAACCAAGGCTGCAACCCATTCATAGGCAGCCATCTCCCAGGCCCAAGCCTTGCTCCCTCCATCTGCCAAAGATGGCACCAATTAGTGACAACTGTCTCGGTGACACCTGGTGACCGGCAGTTGGATGGAGGCCACTCTACTCACTCTGCCCAAGCTTCCAGGCAGCTGTCAGATGGCATTAGTTTGTGCCTGCTGAAATCCACCCAGAGCAGAGCCAGAAGAAGGCTCTGTGTCTCTGGGTTGTCGGATTTTTGCCATACATCAGGGGAACCACTGACTGTATAGGGAAGCTGATGAGGAAACACAACCTACAAACTATTTACAGACCCACCAAGAAAATCCAACAAATGCTTCGTTCAGCAGAGGACAAGAGGGATCCTCTCACCTCTGCAGGAGTCTACCGTATACCATCCAGCTGCGGACAAGTCTCCATGTTGTTGTTCATTCGTTCAGTCGTTTCCGACTCTTCATGACCTCATGGACCAGCCCATGCCAGAGCTCCCTGTCGGCTGTCACCTCCCCCAGCTCCTTCAGAGTCAAGCCAGTCACTTCAAGGATGCCATCCATCCATCTTGCCCTTGGTTGGCCCCTCTTCCTTTTTCCTTCCATTTTCCCCAGCATCAATGTCTTCTCTAAGCTTTCCTGTCTCCTCATCATGTGGCCAAAGTACTTCAACTTTGTCTCTAGGAGTACTTGTGAATAAAGTTTATTGCACTAGCCATAGGCCATGACATCAAAAACATACAACCTTTATAAACACATTAAATACAATCCAATGTTAACCAAAACCCGTTCAAGATTTAAAAGACTAGTACTTTAAAATTTTGCTGGCAGAAACCTAGCAAAAACCGCGTCTGGTCTGTGTCCTCCCTAGCCATCTCCCTTTCCCTAACTGGTCTCCAGCGAGGATTTTACTACTCTGTCTCTGATCTTTTGGGCTGCGATTGCAAATGTGGCTACTTTTAGTGTTATATTTTTGTCATAATCTGCTAGTAGGTCACCAATCACGGCAGGTTCTTGCCATGCTGCCCTTTCTTCAAGGAGTGTTCCCAGGGACTTTGTCTCTAATATCCTTTCCTCTAATGAGCAGTCAGGCTTTATTGGACTGGTTGGATCTTCTCGCAGTCCAAGGCACTCTCAGAACTTTCCTCCAGCACCACAGTTCAAAAGCATCTATCTTCCTTCGCTCAGCCTTCCCTATGGTCCAGGTTTCACATCCATAGGTGACTATGGGGAATACCATTGCTTTATTTATTGTTTATTTATTTATTTACGGCATTTATATGCCGCCCTTCTCACCCTGAAGGGGACTCAGAGCAGCTTACAATATATATTTTCATACAATATATTATATTATTAGCATAGTACAATATCAGTATTATATATTACTATATTGCACTATACCATTATATTGTAATATTATTCGTAATATTACATGTAATGTAAATATATAATTATAATATTGTATTATTATTACTAGTATTATATTGTATTACATTATAATATTATAAATATTATATGTATATACAATATACTATATTATATTATTAGTAAAGACAAGATGGAAATGTCTTCTGCTCCCCTCTGTCTTTAACTATGTGGATGGAGCCCCCAGTGGCACAGTGGGTTAAACCCCTGTGCCGGCAGGACTGAAGACTGACAGGTTGCAGGTTCAAATCCGGGGAGAGGCAGATGAGATCCCTCTATTAGCTCCAGCTCCTCATGCGGGGACATGAGAGAAGTCTCCCAGAAGGATGATAAAAACAGCAAAAATCACCTGGGCATCCCCTGGGCAACGTCCTTGCAGATGGCCAATTCTCTCATACTAGAAGCAACTTGCAGTTTCTCAAGTCGCTCCTGACATGACAAAAACAAAACTATGCGGATCTTCATAGTCTCCATAGGGACCACCAAATGCAGCACCACTGTCCAAAACATGAATCAAGGAACAGAAATGGCAGTGCAGACTAACTCAACCAGAGAAATCAGTCACAGCAGAGCATTTGATGAACCAACCTGGACACAGCATAGTATTGGAGAAGACAATCTGAGGCTACACAGAGAAGCCATTGAAATCCACAAGAAGTATGTGGACAATTTCAACAGAAAGGAAGAAACCATGAAAATGTACAAAATCTGGCTACCAGTATTAAAAAAAAAACTCTAAAATTATAACAGTAAATAAAGAACAAAGCTCAAACACAGGGGAACTCCAGACAAGAAATAATCAGGACAGCTAATCACCTCTCAACAAAGGATTCCCCCAGACAGTAAGAAGCCAGACCTTGAAACTCAAGGCCATCAAATGCTAATCAAGGTGGGCAATTGAAACATTCACACCTAGCTCCAACAGACAAGAGTTCTTTCTCCCACCCTGGACTTTCCAGATATCGAAACCCAATTTTCCTAGTTTCCAACAGACCCCACAACCTCTGAGGATGCCTGCCATAGATGCAGGTGAAACGTCAGGAGAGAATGCTTCTAGAACATGGCCATACAGCCCGAAAAACCTACAACAACCCAGTGAAGGCCATGAAAGCCTTCGATAATGCTCTGGGTCTTCTTCATCCCACTGAAGTACCAACCCAGTTGGGCTGCCTCCCTCTGCTAAGAAACCACCTCAGCCTGGATCAGGGTCTTGAGTGTTTTCAGACCTTCTCAACCTGAGAAGCCGAAAAGGAGAGGCAGCAGCTAGCCTTAGGAAAGGAGAGAAAGCCTTCCTTCCACCTCTTCAGAAGCAAGTCTTACCGGAGGTTCTCTGGCCGGTGCTCGACTTCTATCTGTCCAGGTGGGCGACCAATATCCAAATGCTGCTCCAGCACTTGCTGCCGGAACTCTGAGACCTGGGACTGGCGGTCTTCCTTCTCCTGCCGCAACCGCCGCTGCCGCGCCAACCATTTTTCTTCCTCGTTGGTGCGCTGGATGAGGAGGGCTGTGGCCGTGCTGCTTCCGGGCAAAGGGAAGAGGCTGTGGTTGGGGATGAGGCTGGGCACTGGGTGGTGTGAGGCAGAAGACGGGTGCAAAGGATGCTGGACTGGTTTGAGGGTCTGGATTGCAGGAGAATCCTTGGGCTTCTCTGCAGGAAAGAGAAAAGAAATGCCAACGTTTACAGGCAGAAGAGCTGCTCTTGTTCAATTAGTTTTGGGAAACAACAGCACCTACGCACTATCCCTGTAGTAGAGAATGTAATTCTGGGGTCCGTAGGGCTAGCATACACCACGCATAAAAATACACCTGTCCAACAGTGATTTCACATGAATCGTTAGATTGCCCAATGCAACAAAAACTGATTCTCATTTTATAGGAAGAGTCTCCTTTGGCCATAAGAATCTGCATTCTAACAGAAGATGTTGTGGTGTTAGACAACCTAATTCTTAAAACACAAAAAGCCACAGCCTGTAGGCAGTTTTCACTAGTCATGAAAAATTGCATCTATTTAATGCACTGGGCTGCTGTGAGTTTTCCAGGCCAAATGACCACATCCCAGCAGCATTCTCTACTGATGTGTTGCTTGCATCTATGGCAGGCATCCTCAGAGGTTGTGAGGTCTGTTGGAAACTAGGAAAATGGGTATATATCTGTGGAATGATGTCCAGGATAGGAGAAAGTACTCTTGTCTGCTAGAGGCAGGTGCAAATGTTGCAAATGGACGCCTTGATTGGCATTCAATGGTGTTGCAGCTGCAATGTCTGACTGGTTGCTGCTTGGGGAAATCCTTTCTTGAGAGGTGTTAGCTGGGAGTTCTTTCTCCCACCCTGGATATTCCACAGATATATAAATCTCACTTGCCTAATTTCCAAAAGACCCCTCAATCTCTGAGAATGTTAGGAGAGAATGCTTCTGGAACAAGGTCAGACAACCCAGAAAACTCACAGCAACCCAGTGATTCCAGCCACAAAAGCCTTCGAGAACATATTTAATGCACTGTTCTGTGGAAGAGCAACTGAGGAGAGAACAATAAATAGCTAAGACAGTCAAGAGATCAGGTATGGTAGCAAAGGGCAAAAGACTGTATAGGCCAGTAAAGTCAATGAAAGTTTGAAAAGGCTGGACTAGAAATGACTATGCATTTTGAAAAATTGGGTCTAGAACTGTGCTCTGTGTGGGTGGGAGTACTTTATGTTAATGTCAAATCAACTAGATTCCATGATTTATGGGCAAGCCCATGGGTATGCAGAAGGCAGACAGAAACACAGTAGCAGTGCTGAGCAATAAGCCCTGGGAATGCACTATGAAGGGTATGCGCCGCAACAAAAAACAGAAACAACAATGTGTTAGAACAGTGTATCCCAACTTTTTTTGGACCACTCTCCAACATTAATACCAAAAGGGCTACGAATCAGTTTTTGGTCAACTTTTGATTCGGTTTGTTTATTTGGGGTGCCGATTCAGAAAACCGCATTGGATAGACCACATCAGCTCTAGTTTCTGATACAGAACATATGCCATCCAATAGTTGGCATCTGCTCGCCCACAGAAAACCTTATTTAATAATATTACTAATAATATTACAGTATAATGGTATAGTACAAAATAGTAATATTTAATATTGATATTGTCCTATGCTAATAACATAATATATTGTATGTATATATATCTTGTAAGCTGCTCTGAGTCCCCTTCAGGGTAAGAAGGGTGACATATAAATGTTGTAAATAAATAAATAATTAAAAAGCCTTGGCACTATAACAGGATTTTGTTAAGACCAGTCACTCTTGTTGCAATGGCATAGTAATGAGGAGGCCGCGGACCATATTTTAGTTCCGTGATGGTGAACCTATGACATGCGTGTCAGCACTGACACGCATGGCTATTTTTGATGACACGCAGCCACATGCGGCCGCATACAAAGAAGTACACCTTATGAGAGCCGATCTAATTCCATCCTTAAATTTGTAAAAGGCTCTACAAATTTAACATCTTCACGTTTGAGCATTGTTCACTCCATAACTCAGCATGGAATATACATTTTTCTTATTTAAACTATAAATATTGCCAAATTATGGTGTTTTTTTTTCTCGAAGTTGACCCCCCACCCAAGTTATGCTCAGGTTTTTGGCATATTTTGACACACCAAGCTCAAAAGGTTGCTCATCACTGTAGTTCTTGCGGACCACTGGTGGTTCATGGACCACGAGTTGGGAACCACTGCGTTAAAGAATGGGTGTGGCAAGAACTGAAGAGTGGGAAACATTTCAAATTGTGCAACCTTTCCCTGGATACTTTTACCAAGATGGTTGCATCCCGCAGCTGCAAGGTGCAACAAACTATGGACTGGGGGCCAGATATGGCCCTCCAAGGTTATTTACCTGGCCCTCGTTCAGGGTCAATCTAAGCCAGCTTGGGAACCACTGCGTTAAAGAATGGGTGCGGCAAGAACTGAAGAGTGGGAAACATTTCAAATTGTGCATCCTTTTCCTGGATACTTTTACCAAGATGGTTACATCCCGCAGCAGCAAGGTGCAACAAACTATGGATCGGGGGCCGGATACGGCCCTCCAAGGTCATTTACCCGGCCCTCGTTCAGGGTCAACCTAAGTCTGAAACGACGTGAAAGCACATACAAGAACTATCTCATCAGTCAAAAGCAGGCTCACACTTCCCACTGAAATACTAAAAATGGTTAAAATTGTTCTTCATTTTAATTATTGTATTATTTTAAAGTGTTTTTGCCCTACAAATAAGATATGTGCAGTGTGCATAGGAATTCATTCATGTTTTGGTTTTGTTTTTTCAAATTATAATCCGGCCCTCCATCAGTTTGAAGGACTGTGACCTGGCCCTCTGTTTAAAAAGTTTGAGGACCCCTGATCTAAAGAATCATATTTCACTGATGGTCCTTCTCTGTCTCTCCAATTATCAGTCAGTCTTGACATCCCCGAATTGGGAGAAAAGAACAGGCAGAAATAACCTAAAGGCTAAAACTCTGCTTTTTTGGTTGGCTTTGCCCTATCCTTAGGAACTACACAGCCTGCCTTTGAACTTCCAAAGGAAAGGCGCTCCAGGTCACCTGCTCGGTTTGGCGTTAGCTGCTCAGACGGTTTGACACGCTCTTCCGGTGGGTGGCTCCTCATCCCTTGTAGCTCCAACGCTGGAAGGAAGGGGCCTTCCATGGCTTTGACAATGCTCTGTTCTTTCTCCCGGGCCCTCTCCCGCTGCCGTTCCAGCTCCCGCTCCCGCTCTCTCTCCCGTTCCCTCTCCTTCTCTCGCTCCCGTTCCATCTCCTTTTCCCGCTCGCGTTCCCTCTCCCGTTCCCTCTCTCGTTCGCGATCAGCTTCTCGTTCTCTTTCCTTCTCGCGTTCCCGCTGCCGCAGCTCCTCATCCATCTGCAATCTGAGGGGACAAAGGAAGAACAGAACCCATGTCAGCCCAAATGAGGGACCCTCCAGCTCCTTCCTGTACTGGGATTGTGGCGCAGCTGGCTGAGTGTCAGCTGCATTGAGATCACTCTGACCAAAAGATCATGAGTTCGAAGCCAGTCCGGGCTGGAGTGGGTTTCCAACCAATTGTGTGTAGCCTGTTGTCGACCTTTGCAACCCGAAAAACAGTTGCATCTGTCAAGTAGGAAAATTAGGTACCACCTTAAAGTGTGGGGAGGCTAAATTGACTGATTTATGAGGCCATAAAAAAGACTCCAGCAAAAAAGCATCCGGGGAAGGCGGAAGTACTTCATCCGTGTCGCAGATGGACGATGAAAGTGACAGCTCCCCTGCCGGCCAGAAAAAGTTAAATAGCCTCTGTGTATGTCTGTATATGTTAGTATGTCAAAAATTGGCATTGAATGTTTGCCATATATGTGTACACTGTAATCCGCCCTGAGTCCCCTGCGGGGTGAGAAGGGCGGAATATAAAATAAATAAATAAATAAATATTCCTGAAATAGCAACGATGTTCTAAATACATTTTATACCTCTCTGCGGTCAGGCTGGATATGCGTTCAGATTGTAGTGCAGAGAGAGACGAGTGAGACAGTTCGGTGGGATACCTCACGCCGGACAAGTGGAGGTGCATGGCTGATGGGTGCAGAGGCGGAAGTGAGCCAGGAGTTGGAATCGGATAAAAAGGCGAGCGTAGAGCTGAAAGGCAGTAGGAATCATCCATCCTGGAAAGAGAAATGCAGTTAGCCCACAGGGCCCTTTATAGCCATGCAGAAGGAACCTGCCCTTGTTATATCTGCCTCTGGTTCCAATTTTTATGTTAAAGTAATGCTCTTTTTTCTGTCAAAGTAGTGCTCAGGAACATATTGACTTTGCTAGCTCAGGTATATCTGGATATGGTAGGCCTACAAGTTTAATTCTGAAGCCTCGCAGCTGTTTGCTTTGGTGTGCTTCTGTGAGGAATAAGGGAAACGCATGCCCTTTCTCAACCTTCTCCACCAATTTTTCTTAAATATATTTATCCTTTCTTACACAGAGGCTTTGCTAACTGATGTGTTGACCATGGATACATATGTAAAAATGACCTCAAATGCACCGGGACTGTGGATGCACTCAGCTGGCTGAGTGTCAGCTGCATTAAGATCACTCTGACCAAAGGTCATGAGTTCGAAGCCAGCCCAGGTTGGAGTGGGTTTCCAACCAATTGTGTGTAGCCTGTTGTCGACCTTTGCAACCTGAAAGACAGTTGCATCTTTCAAGTAGGAAAGTTAGGTTCCATCTTAAAGTGTGGGGAGGCTAAATTAACTAATTTATGAGGCCATACAAAAGAGACTCCAGCAAAGCACTCCAGCAAAAAAGCATGCGGGGAATGCGGAAGTACTTCATCAGTGTCGCAGATGGACGATGAAAGCGACAGCTCCCCTGGCGGCCAGAAAAGGTTAAATAGCCTCTGTGTATGTCTGTATATGTTGTATGTCAAAATTGGCATTGAATATTTGCCATATATGTGTACACTGTAATCTGCCCTGAGTCCCCTGCGGGGTGAGAAGGGCGGAATATAAATGCTGCAAATAAATAAAAATAATAAATGGGTCAGTGGGTTCATGCACACAAACCTTGTTAAAAATATTTAAAATTAACTGGGTATTTTTGATTACAAAAGTGTGAGTCAAGCACTGAAAGAGTGAGTAGGCCGAAGCCTGTTAAGAGTCAGTGGGCCAAAGCTAGTGTCGCCCTAAGGAAAGTGAGTAGGCTGAAGCCTGTGATAGTTGGTAGGCCAAAACTAGTGTTGTTCTGAGGACAGCGAGTAGGCTAAAGCCTGTTAAGAGTCAGTGGGCCAAAGCTAGTGTCATCCTGAGGAGAGTGAGTAGGCCAAAGCTAGTGTTGTCCTGAGGAAAGTGAGTAGGCCAAAGCTAGTGTCGTTCTGAGGAGAGTGAGTAGGCCAAAGCTAGTGTTGTCCTGAGGAGAGTGAGTAGGCCAAAGCTAGTGTTGTCCTGAGGAGAGTCAGTAGGTCAAAGCCTATTAGTCAGTGGGCCAAAGCTAGTGTCACCCTGAGGAGAATGAGTAGGCCAAAGCCTGTTAGAGTCAGTGGGTCAAAGCTAGTGTCGGCCTGAGGAGAGTGAGTAGGCCAAAGCCTAAGAGTCAGTGGGCCAAAGTTAGTGTCATCCTGAGGAGAATGAGTAGGCCAAAGCCTGTTAGAGTCAGTGGGTCAAAGCTAGTGTCGTCCTGAGGAGAGTAAGTAGGCCAAAGACTGTGAGAGTCAGTGGGCCAAAGCTAGTGTCAACCTGAGGACAGCGAGTAGGCCAAAGCCTGTGAGAGTCAGTGGGCCAAAGCTAGTGTCGTCCTAAGGAAAGTGAGTAGGCCGAAGCCTGTGAGAGTCAGTGGGCCAAAGCTAGTGTCGCCCTGAGAAGAGTGAGTAGGCCGAAGCCTGTTATAGTCAGTGGGCCAAAGCTAGTGTCGTTCTAAGGAAAGTGAGTTGGCCGAAGCCTGTTAGAGTTAATGGGCCAAAGCTAGTGTCATTCTAAGGAGAGTAAGCTGAACTCTGTTAGAGTTAGTGGGTCAAAACTAGTGTCGATCTGAGAATAATGAGTAGGCCGAAGCCTGTTAGAATTAGTGGACTAAAGCTGGGGTCATCCTGAGGAGTGTGAGGTAAACCTCTGTGTGAGAGAAGCTTTGTGTGTAAAGTTCCAGTAAAAAGACTGCTGTGTGTTAAAATCTACTATGTATTTGTTTATCTGTGTAACGGAAACCTTGTTGTTGTAAATAGTGCAAAAATATTATTATATTATTTTGCTATAAAGCCTCCTAAGGAAGATATAACATTGGTTCTATTTATCACTTTGGGTGACTGGTGCCGGGTCACGCTGCTGCTGCTAAGTTACTCTGCTGTACATTTATAAGGAGGGTCGTCTTTTGTTAATAAGCCCACTTGTACACAATATCCCAGAGTACTTGTAAGATATCAGCACAAACACAAAACAAGAGCGGAGGGCAGGGAGCATACAACCCCCCTGTTGCGCCAACTCCACTGGCTACCGATCTGCTACCGGGCTGAATTCAAAGTGCTGGCATTGGCCTTTAAAGCCCTAAACGGTTCGGGCCCAAGCTACCTATCCGACCGCATCTCTGCCTATGAACCCACCAGGACTTTGAGATCTTCCAGGGAGACCCTGCTCTCGATCCCGCCTGCTTCTCAAGCTCGGCTGGCGGGGACGAGAGATAGGGCCTTCTCGGTGGTGGCTCCTCGGCTGTGGAACGCCCTTCCTACGGACATTAGACTAGCACCATCTCTAATGGTATTCCGCAAAAAAGTGAAGACCGGGCTGTTTGAGCAGGCGTTCGAATAATTAGTGCAATGATTGGTTAATGAACACTGGAATGGAACAATGGATGACGAATCTGGAACATGTTTTTGATGACGAGACGACAGTGAATGGGTATTGTAGTAACTGTTTATTATTAATTGTGTAATGTGTTAGGTTGTTAACTGTTTCTATACTGTAGCACTGAATTTTTGCTGTTCGTATTTGTTGTGAACCGCTGTGAGTCGCCTTCGGGCTGAGAACAGCGGTATATAAGTAAGGTAAATAAATAAATAAATAATAAATATTATCAAAAGAGCGTATAATATTCCATTTACCAAAATCCCCAGCACATAGCTCAATTCAGTGGTACACAGAAAACAAAAGGAGCAGCCGCTCTCAAACGTAACAGTTCTAGGTCTGGATAGGGATTCCACTGTATATAGGCTTCAGGGATACACTCAATGAGAAAAGTCATATAAACAAAGTAAGCATTGAGTCATGAGGCTATATGTAAACTGAAGACAATAATGAGGATGAAGCGCCACTCTCAAAACAATCTTCATGGAAAAGATCCAACTCAAGTCCAGTGAAAAATGGAGCACTGCTTCTCAAAATAAGTCTTCAAAGGAAAGTCCCAATGGCATTCAACAGGGGTGCCCGGGTATTTTTGTACCCTGTTTCGGGGAAAGCAATCCCCTTCCTCAGGAGTTGATAAAGTCAGCAACTCTAGACTCTTATAACATGCCAGGTAGCTTATACAAAAATTGACTCTGCTTGAAGTAAACTCTCGCAGTGTGGATTTTGGTAAATGGAATATTATACGCTCTTTTGATAATATACTTTGACATTATGCATAGATTGTTTTGTGTTTGTGCTAATAAGCCCACTTGCCCAACAAAACCTTACCCAACGAAGGCGACAAAAACCCAAACCTACAACTCTGCATGCATGGGAAACCGGTCACAGAGGAAAAGCTGGAGGGAGATTCTTAGGTTCCCCACAGCTTCTTTTTTACAACATTTGTGCTCCACGTCGGTTGTCAGATCTCAGATCTCCACGGGCACAGCATGCCTGGCTGCCCAGGGCATAACAGAAGCTGAGCCGAGGCAGGCACTGCTCCACAGGGCCTCATTCAGAGAACAAATTAGCAGCCTGACATCCGAAGTCCTGCTGCCGCTTTAAGTGATGGCCTGTTGTGCTTTATTACAGCTGTGCCGAAGCCCTCAGAGAAGCCTCCATTGTGGGCAAGACCTGTTTATTACCGCTTCTTCCAAAGGACCTGCCTGGGTAGCTACCCGAAAGCCGCAATCAAATCCTGGTGTCCACACAAAGCGAAAGAGGGCAGCGGACAGAGATGGCTGGCTCTTACCTGAAGGCCGGGTGAGGAAACGGATGGTGAGCTAGATAGCTGGGGTGGTAGTAGGCAGCAGCAGTGGCCGGATCCAGGGCAATGGGAGGCAAGGAGGACATGCGGAGCTCCTCGGCTGTATGATAGGGCCGGAAGCTGCGCAGGTAGTCTTCCGTGACTGCGCTGGGAGGCACCACGTGGTGGACATGCCGCTGGAGGCTGCTAAGTGAGAAGAATAGCGATTATCACTATGTTTATTCATATCCCATGTTTCTCCCAACACTGGAGCTGAAGGGAGCTTACAACTGAAAAAAACCCCCAATGCATATCTGTCAGAAATATTACAAATTAACTAGGCATTTTTAATAACAAAAGTGTGAGTCAAGCACTGAAAAAGTGAGCAGACCAAAGCCTGATAGTCAGTGGGCCAAAGTTAGTGTCATCCTGAGGAGTGTAAGGTAAACCCCTGTGTGAGAGAAGCCTCATGTTAGAAAGCTCCTGCCAATGGGAGGCAGGGAGGACATGCGGAGCTCCTCGGCTGTATGATAGGGCTGGAAGCTGCGCAGGTAGTCTTCCGTGACTGCGCTGGGAGGCACCACGTGGTGGACATGCCGCTGGAGGCTGCTAAGTGGGAAGAATGGCGATTATCACTATGTTTACTCATATCCCATCTTTCTCCCAACACTGGAGCTGAAGGGAGCTTACAACTGGAAAAAAAAACCCAATGCAAAGCAACTACTCATATCTGTCAGAAATATTAAAAATTAACTAGGCATTTTTTATAACAAAAGTGTGAGTCAAGCACTGAAAAAGTGAGCAGACCGAAGCCTGATAGTCAGTGGGCCAAAGCTAGTGTCATCCTGAGGAGTGTGAGGTAAACCCCTGTGTGAGAGAAGTCTCATGTGAGAAAGCTCCAGTGTGAAGGCTGCTGCATGTAAAGCTACTATGTATTTGTTTAATTGTGTTATGGAAACCTATTGCTTGTAAATAGTGCAACCATATTATTATTATTATTATTATTATTATTATTATTATTATTATTATTATTAAAGTTAATAATAATAATAATAATAATAATAATAATAATAATAACTTTATTTGTACCCCGCTAACATCTCCCGAAGGACTCGGTGCGACTTACAAAGGCCAAGGCCCTCAATAAAACAACAGCATAACAAATACAACAATAAAACTCATAAAGCAAACCAATAAACATTAAAGCAATAACACTAAAACATCAAAACAATACATCATGACACATTTAAAACTAGGGCCGGGCCAAATGTAATGAATAAATTAAAAAGTGCTGGACATGACAGGTGAAATGTAAGGATTTTAGGGTAGGTGCGATGTGCAGGCAATCTTAAATCTCTGGTAAAATGCGTTTGGGACATGATGCTGGGAGTTTCCTATTCTGAAAAGGCACACTAGAACAGCCAGGTCTTCAAGCTCTTCCTAAAGACTGCCAACGTTGTGGCTTGTCTGATGTGCTTGGGGAGAAAAGTTCCAGAGTCGGGGGGCAATTTGTAATAATGTAGTCTTCTTCTTCTTCTTCTTCTTCTTATTATTATTATTATTAGATACATAACAAGATTGGTGCACAGCAAACAAGACCACTCTGCTGGCTTTTGTATTCGATCACACGTCAGATACTTCCCAAATGTCTAGGACTGTGTGATGTAACGACAAATAGCGTGTACAGATCCAAGTAGGATGGCCTTTTGCAGCTGACAGATGGTATTATTATTATTATCTTCATTTATATTTGCCTTGACTGAGGCACTATAACCCCTATTATTACTATTATTATTATTATCCCTTAGGCATCCTCCTCCTACCCTGAGATGATCCTATTATTATTATTATTATTATTATTATTAATTTCCCTTAGGTTTCTACCTCCTACTACCCTGAGATGACCCCTTACTGCTATCATTATCATTAATATTTGATGCACAACAAGATCAGTACATAGCAAAGAAGATCACTCTGCTGGCTTTTGTATTCGATCACGTCAGATACTTCCCAAATGTCTAGGACTGTGTGATGTAACGGCAAATAGCATGTACAGATCCAAGTAGGATGGCCTTTTGCAGCTGACAGGTGGTATTATTATTATTATTATTATTAACTTCATTTATATTTGCCTTGACTGAGGCACTATAACCCCTGTTGTTGTTGTTGTTGTTGTTGTTGTTGTTGTTATTAATAATAATAATAATAATATCTCTTAGGCATCCTCCTGCCCTGAGATGATATTATTATTATTATTATTATTATTATTATTATTATTATTATTGATTTCCCTTAGGTTTCTACCTCCTACTACCCTGAGATGACCCCTTACTATTATCATTATCATTAATATTTGATGTACAACAAGATTAGTACACAGCAAACAAGATCACTCTACTGACTTTTGTATTCGGTCACATGGACACTTCCCAAGTGCAGGTCCAAGTGGGGTGGCCTTTTGCAGCTAACAGGTGGTATTATTATTATTATTATTATTATATTTATTATTATTTCTATTAGCAAAATAGCTGGAACAGCAGTCTGTGAGCTGCAGGGAAGTGGCTGGAGTTGGCCACGGCATTATAAGATTCTGTGATGAGCCACACATGAGAGGACAAATATACAAAATTTAGACTGCCTTCCCACCTATCCAATCTATTATGTTTTAAATGGTGCCAAAATTAAAAGGGATTAAACATCTAGCTCTAGCAGACAAAAGTCCTTTGTCCCACCCTGGTCTTTCCACAGATATATAAACCCATTTTCCTACTTCCAACAGACCTCACTACCTCTGAGGATGCTTGCCATAGATGCAGGCGAAACGTCAGGAGAAAATGCCTCTAGAACATGGCCATGTAGCCCGGAAAACCTACAACAACCCAGTGATTCTGGCCATGAAAGCCTTCGACAATACATTAAAAGGGATTTCTGGAACTACTCTGCAAAAGTCAGAATATGATTAGGTGGGGTGACTCAGGTAAAAACAAGCCCACGGCTGGGCGAGGGACCAATTCCCAGCATGCTTGCACTTTGGAGAGGAAGGAGCAGCTCTTGTCACATGCCCTCCCATTGCCTTCTGTGATCACACACCCTTCGGAGCCCCACTTACTTGAGAGGCGGGAAGCGGGAGTCCTGCACAATGGAGTTGGGAGGGATCCCGAAGGAGTAAGGCGTCCCAAGTAAGTGAGAAGGAACCGGAGGGGCAGCGGCTTTCTCCTGGGGCACCGGCGCCTCTGCAATCAGGCGGTCCCTGTTCGTGCTGCTGTTTCCTGCAGAGCTTCGTGACCCAGCTTCTTGCTAAGAGTGAAAAGGAAGAGACAAACTGTTAGACCCTGCTGTGTCCCTTGGCAAAACAAGGCACAAACCACACACAAAGATGCGCCTGGGTCGAAAGAAGTTCAACTTTATTCACTGCTGAGAGGAGAAAATGTTCATCCACTTCCCGTTAATTCAATAATGCAAACTGCTCCCTATGGATCCCTACACCTCAGGTTTCAAGTTGAGGTGGCACTGATCACGAAGCCCATGTAAGAACCCAAGTGAGATCAGCAGAGGATGACTGTGGACCAAATTACCCTTCTACCTTCACAAGACTTACTATGCTGGCCTCCCCTTACACCCAACTACTCATCCTTTTTAGCATCGCTTTAGAAACACTGACCACAGAAGCAGTCTGCAGTTTGGACAGAATCCAAATTCTGACCAAATACAACGAGAAGTTAATGCAGTGGGAAACATGCACAAGGCTGTCAAATATGTTTGCCTGTGCAAGCCATAAATCATCTTTGACGCTCTATTATCTTGACATCTGATCAGTGTTAAAAGTCAGAAAGAGGCAGATATGTATTTTTCATGCAAATGAGTACCGTGTCTCCTATCTGCATGCAAGGCATTTATGAAATGTATAAATGAAGTAGGAAGAGGAGGATATCTTTTTCTCTCTCCTTCAGAATCCCAATGCAGATGGAAAAGTAGAAGTTACTCAGAATTAGCAGTATATTCTGGTCTAGCTAGAAGTACTTTGCGCACACGCCTGCATCAATAGGAGTATAATGCCTACATCCAAGGAAGTCATGCTACCCCTCTATTCTGCCTTGGTTAGACCACACCTGGAATACTGTGTCCAATTCTGGGCACCACAATTGAAGGGAGATGTTGACTCTAAGCTGGAATGTGTGCAGAGAAGGGCGACTAAAATGATCAAGGGTCTGGAGAACAAGCCCTATGAGGAGCGGCTTAAGGAGCTGAGTGTGTTTAGCCTTCAGAAGAGAAGGCTGAGAGGAGACATGATAGCCATGTATAAATATGTGAGAGGAAGTCATAGGGAGGAGGGAGCAAGCTTGTTTTCTGCTGCCCTGGAGACTAGGACGCAATGGAACAACAACAACAACAATAATAATGGGTTGTTGTAGGTTTTTTCGGGCAATATGGCCATGGTCTAGAGGCATTCTCTCCTGACATTCTGCATCTATGGCAAGCAACCTCTGAGGATGCTTGCCATAGATGCAGGCGAAACGTCAGGAGAGAATGCTTCTAGAACATGGCCATATAGCCCGAAAAAACTACAACAACCCAGTGATTCCAGCCATGAAAGCCTTCAACAATGTAATGTTTGTTTGTGGGATTAACATAACTCAAAAACCACTGGATGAATTGACACCAAATGTGGACACAACACACCTACTAACAGCAGAAGGGACTTAAAAAGCCCCAAAAAGCTAAATGACGAAAAGCTAAATGACAATACAGAAAAAAGGAAGAAAGAGGGAGGGAAGGGGAGAAAGAAAGAAAAGAAAGAGGGAGGGAAAGAAAGAAGGAAAGGGAGAAGGAAGCATGGAAGCAAAGAGAGAAGGAAGGAAAGAGGTAGAGAAGGAAGAAAGGAGAGAAAGAGGGAGGGAAAGAAAAAGGGGGAAGGAAGGAAAGATAGAGAAGGAAGGAGAGAAGGAAAGAAAGAAAGAAAGAAAGAGGGAGGGAATGAAAGAAGGGGGAAATAGAGAAGGAAGAAAATAGAAACAAAAGAAGAGAAAGAAAAGAAAGGAAAGAAGGAAAGAGAGAAGGAAGGAAGAAGAGAAGGAAAGAGATAGAGAAGGAAGGAAGGAAAGAGGGAGTGAAGGAAGGAGGGAAAGAAGGAGAGAAAGAGGGAAGGTTGGTCACAGCAACGCGTGGCGGGTACAGCTAGTAAATAATAATAATAATAATAATAAGAAGAAGAAGAAGAAGAAGAAGAAGAAGAATACTTTATTTATACCCTGCTCCATCTCCTCTAGCGGGACTCGGTGCGGCTTACATGAGGCCACACCCATCAGTACAGTACATACATTATAATAAAACACATGACAATACCAGAATTAAAATACATAAAATGCAAAGAAATAAAATAAACTATGCAGACAATATAGAACAAGCAATCAAAACCAGAGAATTTCACTGGGCAGGGCCACATTCAAAGCTAAAATTTTAAAAACACTGGGAGATAGGGCAATATAAATTATCAGAATGAGGATCTGAGAATGAGGGAGGATTCAATTGCATGAACCATAAATAAAGTGCTTCTAAGGACATTTAATGCAAAATTTGGCCAGGGAGTTTCTTACAATCAATCACCGAAGGCACATTGGAATAGTCAGGTTTTCAAATTCCTCCTGAAGATTGCTAGCATGGGGGCTTGCCTAATATCTCTGGGGAGTGAGTTCCAGAGCCGGGGGGCCACCCCAGAGAAAGCCTTCTCTCTCGTCCCCGCAAGTCGCAATTGAGATGCGGGCGGGAGCGAGAGAAGAGCTTCTCTGGAAGATCAAAGAGATCGCATGTGTTCATAGATGGTGATACGGTCACTCAGGTAGGTGGGTCCCAAACCGTTCAGGGCTTTGTAGATCAAGACCTGCACCTTGAATTGGGCCCGGAAAATAAACTGCAGCCAGCGGAGCTCCTTAAACAATGGCTTCAAACGACAAGAAAGGAGATTCCACCTGAACATAAGGAAGAACTTTCTGATTGTGAGAGCTCTTCAGCAGTGGAACTCTCTGCCCTGGAGTGTGGTGGAGGGTCCTTCTTTGGAGGCTTTGAAACAAAGGCTGGATGGCCATCTGTCGAGGGTGCTTTGAATGCGATTTTCCTGCTTCTTGGCAGAATGGGGTTGGACTGGATGGCCCATGAGGTCTCTTCCAAATTCTAGGATTCTATGACATCATTACAAGGTGGATCAAGAGATGGCAACCAAGATGGCTTGCTTGCTTGTTTATGGATCAACATTTGGTTGATCACTACCGGAAAAAGGGTTTGGGTTGAGCAGGCCTCTCCTTGTAGGCATATTTTGGATTTGGTTCAACAATATGCCACATATAGGCATTCAGTGCCTAGCGAGATTACCCTGTATGTGGAGCAGCTGCAGCTCTCCTTGCTGTCTCTCTTGAAACAGGGACTCTGTGCCAGTCATTCCTGGAGTGAGCCTGCCATCAGCTGGAATGGCAGCTGCTCGGCTGCCTTGCTGAGTGTCCTGGCAATAGTGATGCATGTACAAAGAACGACAGAGGGCATTCGGAAGCTGGCACTGCCGGTGGGGCAGAGCAGGCTGGGCTGTGACCAGTCGTTCCCTGAAGAGTCCAGCCGTGGCATCAGCTGCACCGGCAGCTGCTTGCCTTTTGCTGTCACAGCTATTCTGGCAACAAACACCCACACAGGAAGGAAAGCAGGGAAAAGAGACAACAGCATCTGGCCAGGGCTTTGTGCAGTGCCCTCTGTTCCTTCGTGGATCAAGGCAAGCCAAGGCGCTCTTTGGGCAAGCACCAGATACAAGGCGGGAGAAGACTGTAAACATCGACCAAGAGACCAGAAGGTCCAAAAGCTGCCCTGCACTGAAAAATAAATCATGCCATTTTTAGGCAGCTATTTGGTTTGGGTACCCAGAAACCCATTTGTATTAGCTTCGTTTAATAAGAGGAAAGGAGAGATGCAGTTTACAAAGAGTGGGCATCTCAAGATGGCTAAGGATTCCTCAGCCAAAACCAAAGTAGTACAAAGGAGTACAGCGAGATATTTGGAAAGTGTGCCTTGTTAGCTTCCTCCTGGGAAATCATTAATGATGACATTGACGTCTAAGAGATCAAGTACTACCTCAGTCCTTGCTCAGATATTTATACAGGTTGAGTATTCCAATTGCAATATGCTTAGGAGAGAGCAGGTCACAACCCATGTTGTTTCCTTGTTTCTTCTCTGCTCACAAAATCCTTCTTGGAGCAGAGATGTACAAAAACAGGTCATGAAAGTGGCACAAGAAAAGTGGAAGGGGGTGGGGCAACAGCCATAGTATATATAGTATATATTAGTATTGTACTATATATTATATAGTACAATATAGTCATATATAATACTAATATTGTGCTATGCTAATAAGATTTTGTAAGCATGGCTAATATTGATCATAATATTGTAATACAATATAACACTACTAGTAATACAATATAATAATATAATAATTATGTATTTTATATTACACTAGCCGTCCCCTGCCATGCGTTGCTGTGGCCCACATGGGGGTTCTGTGTGGGAGGTTTGGCCGAATTCTGTCATGGGCGGGGTTCAGAATGATCTGTGATTGTAGGTGAACTATAAATCCCAGGAACTACAACTCCCAAATGTCAAGATTCTATTTTCTCCAAACTTTACCAGTGTTCACTTTTGGGCATATTGAGTATTCGTGTAGAGTTTGGTCCAGATCCATCATTGTTTGAGTCCACAGTGATCTCGGGATGTAGGTGAACTACAACTCCAAAACCAAAGGATATTGCCCACTAAACCCTTCCAGTATTTTCTGTTGGTCATGGGAGTTCTGTGTGCCAAGTTTGGTTCAATTCCATTGTTGGTGGGGTTCAGAATGCTCTTTGATTGTAGGTGAACTATAAATCCCAGCAACTACAACTCCCAAATGACAAAATCAATGTTTTTGAGTGAAGGAGATAGACTTGGTTGTTAGGTGTCTTGTGTCCAAATTTGGTGTCAATTCGTCCAGTGGTTTTTGAGTTCTGTTAATCCCACAAACGAACATTACATTTTTATTTATATAGATGTAATATTATTAATAATATTGCAGTATAGTGGTATTATAGTAATATATAATACTAATATTGTTCTATGCTAATAATATAATATATTGTATGTACATATAATATTGATCATAATATTGTAATACAATATAATACTAATAATAATTCAATCTAATAATATAATAATTATATATTTATATTACATATAATATTACTAATAATATTACAGTATAGTGGTACAGTACAATATAGTCATAT